TCGGGGAGGGGTCCTCCCCCCACCAGGTGTTTTAAACCCACGTAGTGGGGGGGGGCGCCTCTCCCGCGGAGGGTTTTTATGTTCAACTCGTCGGGAGGGAGATCCTCCGCGGCGAGCGTCCACAGGGCCAACTCGCTGGGAGAAACCGCTCCCAGCGAGCTGGTGTTTAAACCAGCTTCGTCGGGGAGGAGTTTCCTCCCGACGAGCTGGTCTGTGTACCAGCTCGTTCGGAGGGGGTTCCTTCCGACGGGGGTGGCCTCTGCCCCCTTAGAGCGAGAGGGCTGGTTTTTTTTTTTTTTTTTTTTTTTTTTCTTTTTCTTTTTTTTTTCTTTCTTTTTTTTAAAAAAAAACACTCCTGGAAGAGCCTCGCCGCCCATTCAGAGGGCGGGTATCCGCGGGTATCCGCGCGGATACCCGCCAACGCTGGCGGGTATCCGCTGGCGGATGCGGATGCGGATGCGGATGTGTGTTTCCGCTGAAATCGTGAGCGGATATCCGCATCCGCGCGGATATCCGGATTCGATGCGCCCATCTCTAAAATAGATGTATTTAAGAATGGGAATGGATGACTATGATTTTCTGATTTGGCATGGATAAACCATGTAAAAATCAGTAGAAAAAGATGTACACTGATGTTCAAAAGCTATCATAATCTGAAGTTCAAAGCTGTGAGCAACACGGAGTCACTACACTACCCATGGCCAAAGCAGTAGTGTAGCATGAATGCAGGATTTTTTTACTACACTGGAAGTGTTTATTGCCCTCCATTTGGGCCTCTGGACCTCTGGATAAGGCAGATGTTGCATCATCTGCACTACCTTACTCAAATTATGGGCAAAAGAAACCCACAACTACACTACACATTTCAAAAACACCGAATAAAAAACAAGTAGTATCCCATAGAAGTTGGTCACTAAAATGCTCAGATATGCCAGATAGTGCAGCATAGGAAAGCAACCCGCTGTTGCTGTGACACAAATAATTACATTTTGAAAAACCAAGAACAAATTGAAAAATAAAATTGGCCTCTGCACATCCTCAGGGACTCAGGTCTAAACATTTATTTCTTGTGTAAGGCTCTGTGTGGGACAGAGTACCTGTGGGACAGGCCTTTCAGATCTCAATTGGGATTATTTGTCAGGATCACATCCCCAGAATGGCCAACATGTCTTGCAGTTTCAAACAATTTTCCACAACAGGTTTTCTTTTTTTAAATTCTTTTACTTCTGTAACATGTGATTTTGTAAGTAGATGGTGTGCTATGTGAAATCCACAGCATATGAGAAAAGCATATCTTCATACACCTTCAAAATGAAGGATTGAAATCGGGGAACCAGGGCGGATAGGAAATCCTTTGTCCAAGCGTCCCTCCAGTACTTATTGTATGGAGGGAGGAGCCCAACTCCAATGCAATCCCTCCTCCTTTTATACCTATTACCTGCTGCAAGCTTGTTTTGTTTCCCTAAACAAAAAAAACCATGGTGGCAATTCCCATCACTGGGTAAGTTGAAAACTAATGCCTAACATTCAGAGCAACCCTGGAGTGCAAACCCAAACTACAAGAAAAGAACCAATGTGATGCCCTGACCCACACAACAAACTAGATCCGATTAGCCCTCATGGGATGCCTTATGGGTTCTCATCCCACCCATTTCAAGATTTTACTTGCTTTTTTTACATCAAATCGAAAATCAAAAAGTCTAACATTCAGTACTGGCAAACTGTGCTATGAGACCCAACTCACCAGTTTTCTCTCTTGGTAAAAAATTTACTTCGCGAATAACAGTATCAATCATTTTCGAGTTGGTGATCAGTGGCGGTGTCATGCTATCTTAGTTTTCCAAGCATATCAATTCAGCACAGCTCCGTCATGTTTTGTCTCTTTTTTTCTCCTATCTACTGGTACGAACATCCCGTCTCCTACTCTAGTTGAGTGTCTCGAGCTAGCGCTTGGCGCTATACAAATCTCGCATGTTAGGTTACACTTCCAAGCTGAGATTTGAAGGAGCGACTCGGTACGACGCGTGAGTTTGATTGAGTCCTCGTACCATGACTTCCTGAGTGAGAATATATTATTTCTACATACTGCAACCTTGCAGGCTGCAGGCTGCGTCTGGTGATCGAGAGTGGAGGCAAGCCGACCTGATGCGACACGCTTTTTGTTCCACATGACATCTCCATGTAGCCTCTTGATCAAGGAGTCAATACGCTTGAAAACCCTGAAGAAAGTTGGGATGAGGAGCGAAATACTTGATGCCATCAATCACCCCTTGCGAGGAATCATCTGGAATCATCCACTTGGCGTATCAGCACTGTTTTGCGCCATCATCCAAAATAAAATCATGCTTCAGAGAGATGGAACAAGGGCGGAGGGGGGAGACTTGGAGCTTTACCATGCATGTTTCCTCCACGGGAATTGACCTGAATTGATATCAAGACTCACAAGAATGAGTAATAACGGAATGCTCATTGGCAATTCACGCTCTTGATGACCTCAAATTTCTCTCGGAGGATGAGACATTGATTGAACTTTGAAGTCAGACCTTAGTGGATTGCTTGGGGGACTGTAGTCTAACCTTTAGCAGCTGGTAAAAACCCACAAAAGTATAAAAAAAAAAAAAAACGGGGACGCCATCTCGACAGACGGTTCACGTAGGAGGCTGGCGCAGGGAGCTCGGGGATAGATTTTTCCAAACTACGAGGCCTTTCGACGTCATTCAGTTTACACATATCAGGAGACATTGTCCCATCCAGCCTATCGACGTGAGTGAACTCTGTTCCACTCATTAGAATGATTAGGCCTTCAGAATTAGAAGGTGAAAAACTTCTGTGCTTAGCCGTCTATCCTTGTACAAATAGCAGCAAATATCCAATATCGGTGTTGAGTCAGGAGCTCCAAGCAGCTCGAAGCTTAGCATCCGCTTCCACGCCTCTTCAGTACTATATATTGTATCGCTTTGATTGATCCTGTCATCATCTCCGTGTCACACTGACTGCTACATCTTTCTCCTGATTCTCTTGCTACTAGTCCATCCATGAATTTATCAGATAAAGATACATCTCTGCCATTTTCCCCTTCAACTCCGCCCGATAACTGTGGTATCAAGATGACGGACGTGTCGGTACCACTAAAGGGTGTTCAGGCGGTTTATCCGCTGGATGACTCCGTACAGGCTCAGGATTTAAAATTCTTCAAAAAATCCACTGGAATCAAGGATGCAGCCGATTTGAAGAAGCACATCATGGAAATCCGAGAAACGGCTTATAAAAGTTTCCCCTATCCATGCATTTGGGGTGAGCATCCAATTCAATATTTGTGGCCAACTGTGTTCCATGAGGTGACAATACATATTGAACAGGTTTTGAGTTTCTGAAGGGGAAAACAACCTCCCATCCATTTTATCCTCAAGTCAAGGAAAACCAACTCTCGAGTAAACATCAGAAATTTTTTATTGATCTCGGGACTTTTGGTGAGTCATTCCTTAGCACCTACTCGGTAACGTGAGCTTAGAATTTTTGAGCTGTTTTAGTGGGTGTCGACCTGCGGCAAGTTGTCAATGATGGATGGAACCCAAACAACGTTTTAGGCGTAGACATTCATCCTGGTAAATAAAATCCCAAGAATTATGAACAACTTGCATTTTCTTTCCAATAAACAGCGAGGGCTGATACCCGGTTTCCCGTAGAGTGGAGAGACCTCGGCCATCAGCTTTTTAAAGACGGCAACGAAGCGCTCCCTTTTTACCTGGGAGATATTCTTCAGGTCAAGACCCTCAATGACAGCCCCTCGTCAGAAGCAAGGCCAGTGCTCGACCTTCGAGACTTACAAGACCTTAACAAGTTGAAAGGCCGAGTTAGTTTTATCTCTGCCAACCAACTCTTTCATCTGTTCTCGAAAGGTGATCAAAAGGAACTGGCCGAACGGTGTGGACGACTTCTTTCTCATGAGCCCGGCGCTGCAATCTTTGGAACTCAGTTGGGTCTTCCTGAGGAAAAGCTTGAGACCTACAAGTCAGCCTAATTTTAAAATTCAACGTTCGTACAACTGACATATTGATGTAGATGAACTGATATTTTGCACCAGGCTTTATCTTCATTCCCCAGAGGTAAGAATTGAGATTTTGTCCTTTGGCTCTGCTGCTTGAGTATAAATAATCCAACAGTATTAACCCGTCACAATTTTTCCTCATTTATTGAACCCGCAACTCAACAAATCGTACGCTGATGATTAAAATACCACTCAACGCGTGAAAAGTCTTGGGAGCGGATGTGGAAGGAAGTATTAGGTGAAAATATTCTCGTGACGGTCAAGCTAGAGGAAGCCGATACCGAACATTCGTATCACAGCTTTTCTGGAGTTGAAAGCCTCTATTGGCTGTACTGGTCGGTGGCCAGGACTTGAAAATACACAAGCATTTATGAAGCGGGAATCCGAAACGCTCGAAACACGCACGCTACTGAGCACTCATGAGTTTTGTAAAGAATGATGATAACTCAAGGTTAACCTGAGCATTTATGCTCCGGTCCAAGAATCGAAAAAGGTACCCTGGAACGTCTGATTGAAAACAAGTAGAGAATAGTAGTATTGGCACTATTTACATTTCATATTCTTTTACTCCATCCTGAAATTGATTGAAAACGTACACACGCTGTAATATCAATTAGATGAGTGAAATATCCATTTATTTCGACATAAGAAGCACCAAGCAATAAGGTTTAAGCTGAAATTTATGGAAAGATTAATGTGTCATTGAATTTGTCTTGCTTGATCTTCATGTTGGCTTTTATTTGCTCGGGGTAACGTGGATAGGAGATTTTTAAGCATATGTCAATTTCTTGGGTCATCAGGAATGGATTGCAGTAAAGTTTCTTCTTCTGCGGCACTTGTGAATAACTTTTAATTAACATTGACAGAAACTACGAGGCATGAATTAGGCAGAATTTGCCCCATATTTAATTTCTAGAGCAAAGAATTTTTTAAGAAAGCGCCTTCAAATTAGCTATTAGTTTATTTTGGGTAACATCTTCACTACTGTACAATTAAGAGCTCATCTCAACCCATATTATCATTCAGTCAGGTTTACATTATTTCAAGTTTTCACGATTTTCCTCCTCTTCCGAGATCATTTCTAGCGTGCATTTCATCCTGTCATGTGCCTCAACCCTATTTTCGAGATGTTTCCAAATCCTCTGGTAGTATATGTTTTCATCTTTGGCAGTGAAACCTTCTTTGCAAGGTTGATAACCAACAGTGATAGATCGATTGACCGATCTGGTTTTGAGGTTTGTCCGGGCCTGTGATAAGTGGGCGGCCTTTGAAATCGAGGCTTGCGATGCTTCATGAGATGGCTTGTATTGATTTAAAATCTGGATCACTTGCGCGGTAGATAAGAGCGAGGAACCAGCTAACACCTCGTTTTCGTAGAATATTTCTTCCTCTCGTTGGCAGAAGTTGAGCCTTTGGCATATCGAGCTAGGTATAGTACCCACGTTTGGCTCGGCCAAGACTATCCTCTTGAGATAACTGGCCTGTTCGTCGATCAAGGCGGAAATCTGAGAGTTCGTTTCATTGGGAGTGGAACAAGTACGCGGCACAGATGTTGCAACTGGAGGTTCAATTCCTGGAGGGTTCAGTTCGGTTTTCATCGCGAGAATTATGGTTTCAGGTTTCGCTTTGAATAGATTGGTAAGACTCCTCTTCCTCGTAGACCTAGCCGGAAGTGATGCTGCAGGAGGCTTATCATTCCAATTCAAATTCTTGTCAGTATTCGAAGAAGGAACTATATCTCGAGGGTCGGTGATCTTACCTTGACTGGCAGGTTGCTCTCGCTAGAGAAGCATGGGAGGCCGGTATCCACATGACCGCTTTTATCAGCTACAGGCTATACATACAGGAATGGAGAGAAATTAGATGAAAATAGCCTGATGTCTCCAAATCAACACACCAACGGAAACTTACCATTGATGGTGCATACTTTTGTGAAGGTAAAATTTGGGTATCATCGCCCTCCTCTTCAGAATAGAATCTAGGCATTTCAAAGGCAGGGCTGTCTTCATAAAATGAATCATTTTTCTTCGAGTCGTACTAAAGAAGAAGTTCATATCGTCATTTTTTTGCGCTTGTAGATATTCACTTTGGAATGGATTTGACTTACGATAGGTAGACCGCGGTGCTGATTTACTCTGTCCAGATAATCACCCTGGGGATCATCCTGAAAAGAAAACGGGAAAATTGTCAGCAAATATTTGGAGTGTCATATATTTCTAATTTACTTACTCTTTGTAACGCTCGCTCGCTTCCAAGGGAAATCATGCAAGGGATAGGTGGCATCGAAAAGCTTTCCATGCTGAGTTTTGGACGTGCGTCGCAAGATACCACTCGCGAGCCAAATGTGGAGTGAAGTTTTGCAAGGGGGCTGTAAGCGAAGTGCAATTAGTAAAATGGCACGAGCTCACAGAACAGACTATTATTAAGAAGTGAAAATGAAAGAGTTATTCCGCCCCCGAGGCCGGCGTGATGATTCAAGAAGATGGAGTGAAGCTCAAAGGGAGATGCTGCCAACATGAGTGGATGACCGTATATGTACCCCAGATGTACCGGCCGGGATGAAAGGAGTATGTAAGAAAAGATGATACCTGGAAACGGATTACCCTTCAAGCGAGCAATTTACGTGAATTGGATCTGGAAGTCATAGTAGTTCAATTCAAGTAAGTCTAGAGTCGCGTTCATCCTCGTAGCCCGCCTTCGAATTCGTCCAGTCGCCAAGCTCTATGCCAGCGTTGCAGGATATCACCGGCAAGTGAACACTGATACCGAGAGGTCAGCGAATCCAAGATGGGCCCGAGCGCTTGGCTCGCAATATCAAGATAGAGGTAAAATATCGGACGTCATAATAACAGGGCGACCTCAATTCAAAGCCTGATACTGTAAGAGACGGAAGCTTGGTTTCGAAGAACCGGCCAGTAAACAATTGTTTGTGCTGAATCATTGGAATCTTGATGAGGACCAGAATTATATTACGTGGTCGTAGATCCTGCCAGATAATCATGCACACGCTTAGTGGCTGCTTTGAGCTAGATTTGGCATGGCAATGTAAGAATTTCCGCAGACTGTGACGTTAAGCTGCGTACTTAGCCGTCCCCTTCTAATAACGATCAAAGTGCAAGATGGTGAATCAACAAGAGACTGTCGGATTGGTCCTCGAACACACAATCTGCAAGGCAAGGAAAGCAACTCCAGAAGACAGGTGACGAAGGCTGATCCAACGACATTGCAAGAAGCATCAAGCTTTAGAAAATGGCCGCCATAAACAACGGCTTGATAGCCATGGGGCCTTCTGGAGTGGTTGAGCTGACTTGCACCCAACTTGAGTTTAATCACACTTTAACTGACATCTAAGGGGAGGCACTCCTGAGGTTTTTGCTTTAGACAAGAAAAAAAGAATCAAATCGAAACATAGTGAAATGCAGTTATTCCTGAGATATGATATGACCGGTGACCACTTGATACTCACAAGGTTTGAGGCTTTGATTTGGATGATCACCACAAATGGCCGAAAAGATAATTTAATACGATCGGAGTACGATTACCAGTCGACCTGAAAGGTTAAGCGAGAAGGCTTTAGTCTAAGCTGAGAGTTCAAAAGTGGAAGGTGTGCTTACCCTCCTAGCTGCCCACCGTGAAAATTGAAAAGCTAACCTTAACACGAGTCTTGAAAAAAATAGCAGTAGATAGGACTGTCAAGTTGCCTTGAACGATTAATGTGAAGATTAGATGATACGAAGCCCGATATGAGTGTTCAGAAGAGAGCCTACTAGCAAGGAAAGTCCAAGACAGGTCGTTATATTGGACAGCTTCGATAGAGAGTTACTTCGACTACTTGGAAAGGTGGATAATTCCGAGGAAGGGGATAGACTTTGGGAGCAAGAGAACAAACCCTGACAGAAAGACGATGACAACTGATCCTAATTCCTTATCGGTGGGTCTCCTTAGAACCTCTATCATCCCCATCGAACTATCAGCAGTTGTCTTTATCTAACTATCCGACCTATACATACTATGACTCTATTACTTTGAATCATTGGGGGACGCCAGTCTGATGATATCATTGTTTGTCACACCGCCTTCTATTACTCCCAACACACGCACTCATTATTTCGGATTTCAGTGATCCTTCACCTTTCCGTGCACTTTAATATCAAAGTTCTTTGTTAATTGGTCTGCTTCCTGGTATATCTTTATATGCTTGGTAAATAACAGCAAAATCAAACTACGCGATTGCAAGCACAAATTCTTTAGACATTATACTAGGCTGGGCGTGGTTTTCAAATTTAAATCCAGAAGGAGTGTCTAAAATGAAAATGGGAATAGGACATCCCTGATGAAGACGCCGGAGAGTGAGGAAATTCAAATCAAAGCCTGGTGAAACATCAATGAGAGCCAGCAAAGCTTCAAGTGAAGAAGTATGCAATCGTGTACACGGTTCTCCGGCTCTTCTTATGTATCAAAGATACAACAGCAATGTTTTCTATAGCTTTGAGGCAGTGAGTGCAAGGATGAGAATCAAATGAAAAAAAAAAATCAAGTAAAGTAAAGTAAAAAACAAGAAAAAATATATCTTTGTGACTGACACTGACCCTTGACCTTCAGAATGAGGAGGTAAAATGAACAGTATGCCAAGGAGGATGTGGCACACAATTGTGTGATTGTTAAGGTACAGATTTGACCTTGGATTTTGTCATAGTTTCTTTCTAATTCAGACAAGGATAGTGAGGCTGGTAACATACCTTGAATTATTGGCACTGGTACTGGTAGGCAACTGGTATTTTGATGCTTCTTCCTACAAATTAAATTTATTCTGAATGTGAAATGAATAAACATTCAATTGATTTGATCTTATATCACACTTTTAAAATTAAAATTACGAAAAATGGGCTTCACACGCTCAGCTTGAAGAGATCAGGAGATTATCAGACATTGGATATCTGCATTGTGGTATGAGTAGAAGAGTTTCAATTGCATTAAGTTGGAGAGAATCCACTGGAAATTTCTTGGAAATTTTACACATTTGTAGGTTCAGTATTCAATCAAATTGAACTGTTCTTGGAATAAAGCTTCATGATACCTACCCGACCTGATAATTGTCCGCAGGAATCTTTTCATTGAATGATTGACCCATGAGTAGACCCACAAGATTGTGACCTGAAATAAATTGGAATGAGTGATGAATCATACAGGAAAAATCATCTTGCACCTCATATTGATTCTCTCCTGAATACCAAGAGGTTTTGCATGATCTTCCCTTTACTTGAGCAAAGGAGAAGACCCTGCTCGGGCCCTGTCTCACTCATCCACGCGCCTCTTCCTGGCGGAAGGGGGCTTGGCTGCCGGGCGCCGCGGCCCGCAGATGCTCTGGGCGCTCGTAGGCCGCCCGCAGCTGGAAAGAGACTCACGGGTTGTCGAGTGTCTACTGTCGAAGTCATTCAGCCAGGCTACTCAAGAATTATGTAGTTGGAGTAGCTTGGATGAGTAGGAGGTCGTTGCCCCCCGCAAAGCCCATGGGCCAAACATTTGCCCAGAAATTAGTGACAACCCAACACCCACGACACCGAACCCGTTACACCCACCCAAGCAAGCGTTTGAGGCTGCTTCAAAGGGTGTCAAAGGCCGATTGTTTACCCGCTGGATATCCATTTGATTTGGGTTGGCTCAACTAACTTCTTCGAGACCGAAGTGACTTTGATATCTTGTTATCAGCCAATCTCAGCCTACAAGGAGGGAATATCGACATATATTTGAGTTATTGTAAGACCGATTGGTTGGTTGATTCTCACCTCTAGTATCTATAAAATTACATCCCCTTTTACTATCGCCAAACAGCTACGATGTTTCAGCCCTTCGAGAGCCATGCAGAGCAATGGATCAAGCGATACGAGAAAGCGGTCGAGGAATACTCTCAGAAGACTTTGGCGGCTGAGAGTCAGAGCTCACAATCCAACCTAGAACGATTTATCAGGTCGGCAGCGAGCGCCAAACCGCCGATAATACTCCCCTCATTCGCCCAGGAGTCCTTCCAACGCGCCTTCTCCGAAAACTACCTCGAGGACGACTATGGTGGGGCCTCCTTGGACCTGGACCCCAATCTGGGTCAGTCGGCTCAGGTCCCTCTCGGCAGGTCCAAATTGATACCTCTACCCCCGGCCTTCCTCAACGGCGACACAACCTTCGAGCGACAAGACCCGCAAACCGTGCACACCAAGTTCGAGAATATTACGAGCACCTTCATCGGCATCGGAGGGCATCTCTATCAATTGAGAGAGGTGGTCGACTACTGGCTCCCCAGGGATAGCCCAGAGACCCTCGAGGTCGCCCGAGTCAGATGGTGGCCAAGCCAGCTCATCGAACAGGCCCGACTGCGAACCATACACGAAATGAACTCAATTCAGATCAGCTTCACCGAAAATTTACACCTCGTCAATAACACTATCTGCGACCTGAGAGAGGGCGCGTTTGGTGGCCGTCTTAACACTAAGTCGATGGCTTGTGCAAGAGAGTTAGTCCCCTTGTGACACGCATCATTCATGTCGGGTTGTGTGGCTAGGGCTGAAGTTTTTTTTTTTTTTTTGGTTGGTCCTTCAAGAATGTTTGAGACTCTTAGAGACTTGAGAAAACTGTTGTTACGCATTCAACGACCGGCATCAGACCGCGCCAGATCGCTGAGCACGACGTCGATATGGTTCTCTACGAAATGCTTGCCGCCATTGATGGAGGATTTGCAGGAGCCATACATGGCCGAGCGCTTCGACCAAAACGACCCGAACCAGGCGCATCTAGGCGAGCTCTTCAGCGAGCATTGTGTCGGCCTTACGGCCACGATCAAGATCCTGTCGGAGGCGTATGAACACCTGTCCGAGACCTTCAAGACGGTCGACGGGATCTGCAAGACGATGATCGAGGGCATCCACAAACTCATGCTCGATGTCCATCTCGGCCAGACCACTGGCGAGTTTATCGCCAGCTGGGCTAACCGTTGGGAACGCGTCACCTTCGCCCTGCTTCTCAGAGTCCTTGGCCTGCCTGCTATCAATCTCGGCCTCCAGAGAGACTTCCCGACCATGGAAGTCGAATACTTTGTCCCAGAATGATCCCCCCCTCGTCTTCACTCTCATTGGACACTCTTCGGCTCCGATCTTCCTCGTATTCTTACGGACTTGTGTGTCGTCTTGGGCTCTGTATCGTTTTACTAGTTATGAGATAACTCTCTTCCCCAGAAAATACTTATTTATCATGTAATCCCTGCCGAACCTTGCTTCAAGGTTTCTTGTATTACCATTTCCCATGTACATATTAAACGATTGGGCGCTGTTGTTCTTGCTTTTGCTATCTGAATCTTGTATTGCCACCGGGTTCCAAAAAAAACATGCTGAAATGAAAGACCTGGTTCAAACTCAGTCCCTTTCTGTTGTTTTTTTCCTACACGAAAAAAGCTATCATGTCGAGCATGTAAGAATGATGTAGGTTGGGCCTCCAAATACAAGACAATTGGAAATCGCCCTAAGGCAAGCCAATTTCAATGGTAATGTCTTTTCATGGCTTACAGAGTGACAAGGTCATTCTCAGTGGACTACTAGATCGGGCAACAGAATGCCAATCTTATAGCCTACGATCAAAAATGGCCTGTGTTACGAGAAAACACGCTAAGAACGACGACAAGTGGGGGCATGCAAATGATCGATTGCATCAGTATTCTGGAGACGAGGTTAGCGTTGACGGTATTTCAGAGCACATCCAGCTGACTTCCCGCCGAGGGGAGCGCTTGTAGACCTCGTCGAGACAGACCACTCGTTGAAGACTTCCTAATCAATTGGCTCGACAGGATTACCTGCATTGATCTCCAACCACCAACGCCGCGTCGACCTTCAACCCGGCACCAACTCACGCATATTATACCACTCCAAGGCCAGAGGCAACGAAGACCATCCCGCCGTTTAGGAACACTTGTCACCTTGGCCTAGAAGCATGAAGAGCTGTCACTGTGACTTTCAATTTTTTACCCACCCAAGGTGGCATATATATTTACCAAGCTTAGATGTGTGCCTCTATGGCAGACTATGTATGACGTATGACTGAAGCACCCCACTTTCCCCATAAGTTTTTCTCTCTTCCACAGACAACAACCCGATAGGCTCTTAGATCAAATTTATCGCTACGGTGATCATCATCTCGATCAAAATGATTTAACGGTCGTATGATGTTGATTTCAGGGCATATCACTTGAATTTCGCAGTGTTGAAAATAGTACAATGTCCCTCTGCATCTATCATCGAGCCGCGCTGGTTAACTGTATGGAACGCAGTCGACTTGCGCCGCCAGATCCGTTGCCTGGGGTTGTATAAGACATCGAGGGAAGCTTCAGCTTGCATGCACCACAGCTCTGCATAGATCATGACTCCATGACTCAATGAGAGATATGTTATATCGGAAGCTCACCAAATTATTAGTGCAACACTCGGCTTTGGAATCTTTCGGACATTGATCAGACAATGGTGGAACCCCTGACATGCAGATATGTTGAGTTATGATTGACTTCGGTCACTTATAGGATTCAACTTGATGCTGTAAGTAAACACTTACATAAATCTCCATACGCGCAAAGGTAATACTTGTGATGACGTGTGCATTCAGCAGCAGCGTGGCCGATGAAGAATATGAGAGTGAAGACGTATATGGCGATAGTGCTGATGGATTTCATCGTTGGACTACAAGGAATTTTGTGGTTGAAGGTTGATGTTAAGACGTACGACCAGTCGTTTGATCTACCGGATGGATGAAGGGGTCCAATTTGATCGAATTTTTATTTTCTTCTCCGGAAAAAGGATGCTTAAGTTTTAACGGCGAGTCAAACAGGCCACTACTTGAAGCATTCTGATCGAAGAAGCTCGACAACATCCACATGTGCGTTTATGTATCAGCCTGAACTTTTGGAACAAGTATTTCCCGGTTCAACTTCTTTCAAACAACAAATAAATCGTCTATACATGTGTATTTGAGGAGGAGCCTGGCAGCCACCTGGATGTATTTGAATGGGGTTAATAAATGCTATCAAATGAACCAGCAATGCCTCTGATTGTACGAATAGATACGAATGTTGTTGCCACTGATTGCTGAGGCACGTAAGGGCGTGTATGAAAAGGTATGGTCCCTAATTTAACTTTGAGGCTTCGGCGCGAACTCTTGCAATATGTGGCCTGCCGATGAGGGAGCCGGAGGTGATTGGGTTTGGTGAGGTCGACCCGGTCAATGCGGTACCAGCACATCACTCAGTCATCCCAAGGCCGGTAGCACAAGTGAGACATGCCCCGGTATTAAAAAAAACCTCGGCATCATCGCTCAAAAGCATTCTGAACTCCGATCACAGTCATGCTTTGCCTGCAGTTTCCATTTTCACTCGACATTCCAAGCTCATTTTGCAGTCTTTTTCTCAGACAAGATTACCTGTGGTCAAGGATACACTCATGTTTTGCGCTCTTGCGGAAACAAGATATTCGCGTACCGATGCACTTTGTTCACTCTCCAACTTGTTGCTCACATTTATGGCTATGATGGTGTACACCCAAACCATTTGAAACGGATTTTATATGACTCAACACGAGTTTGATTTCAGGGGATATCAATCAACTATGGTAGTGAGCTAGCTTGAACTTGGTGAAAAAAGGGTATTTGTCCAGATATCGGCGAGCCCGGCCCTACGGCAATTTGCAATCTTTGGTCGACTTTGGATGTTTTATCTAAGTTCAAGGTTATCGTAGGTAGCGTTAGCTTCCGCCCCCGATTTCAATAGCTGATCATGATTGTAGAGTGATTTGAACTTACCGTTTTGGCAGTACAGCACTTCAATTTCGTCTCGCCTGGACACTTCCCTTCAACTGGTTCAACCACTGACATAAGATTATGTTTAATGAGTTAACTTCTTTCTGCACAAGTTTGGATCAAGCTATGCCTTTGCAAGGTTGATGCTTTGCACTTACCGCCATCAATTCCGCCATCGCAAAGAAGAAGAGGGTGGTCCGATGGGCAACTCGGACCGTCAGAAGGAGTGAGAGAAGTAGCGTGGCCAATGAAGAAACCGAGAGCGGAAAAAACGCATGCGACGATGGATGTGATGGACTTCATAGCTGTATCAGTCGATTAGACTTGCGATAAAGGTTTTGTAGATAATTTTTTTGATCTTCTGTATGGCTAAAGAAATTAAATTGATTGACTCGTTTTTATTTTCTCTGAAGATGGGTGGTGGACGATCGAAGTCAGATGGGCCACTATTTATGTCTTTCTGTGTGATTGAGAAATCTCAAGAGAGAGTCGTGTTGGCGCCCTCTAACCCCTAGCTATGTCCGCTGTGGACTTCAAGTTCAACTTTCGGGATTAGACTCTAGAGGGATTGCGCGCTTCTTTCGCCCATGCAATAGTTATCGCCTGTATTTGAGGGCTTACATTTAAGAAGGTTTCAAGCAAGAACAGATGAACAGAAATGAACCAGTTACGCCACTTGCACCTTAAGTTTAAAACATCGTCACTCCAATGATCGGCGGATGCGCGCGTAAATGTAGGCGCGTATTCCGGCTGACGTGCCACCCAGGAAGAATGGCATGCAGCCGTGTTCAAAAACAACTGCTAAAGTTCTCCACAAGCCCAATCCGACACGGACTTCAGCAATATGGCATGCGGAGGAGGAGGCTCTATAAAGCATAGCCCAGAAGTCAAATAGAGAGAAATGTGACGAGGAAAGCGTTTGTGGCAGCATTTTACTCAGGTCCTCAAAGACCCAATGATCAATGGATTCTTAATAACCAAAAAAACACGTCTCCTAGCAAGAAAATGCCTAAGTTTTAATGATTTGGGGCTGATTATGCATCTCTTGTGCTATCATTTCTGCTGGTCATGTCGCATTTGGATATCTCTATCTGTAAACTTGATGAATATGGACCAAACGCTTGAATCAATCGCGTGATTTTCAGTCATTCCCTGGCCTTCCAGAGTGCGCGCTGTTGGGCTAGTACTACGCACGCAGGTTTGAAGGAAATGTGGTTTGATCAAGTTACCCCGATCGGGCTAGGCGCGACGGACCCACCAAGGCTTTCATCCCCCAGTGTTGAGATGGGCGGCACACGACCTCATTCAAGTCAGTCACCAGCTGGCGGCGGTGTGACATGGGCAGCATAATGATGATGGGCTGCAACTGGGAAACAAGAAGACGCCTGAAAGAGGCAGTTCTCCTTCTCAGTTGTTCGAGGAGCCGGGCCTGCTGTAGGAGCATGAACTGTGTATTCGGTATGGATTCCGGCTAGGTGTGTCCCGCAAGAGACAGATGTACACAGTCTCCTCCGACTGGCTCATGAGTCGCGGCCGAGTCGGACTATGTGAGTTGACCTAGGTCACAGCAGCTGCATTCTTGACTGGAGAGGCTGTTTCGCTTTGCAAGCTGTGCGAATCCGTTTCTGTAATGCAATTGGTCTGGGGCCCGAGGTTCCTCAAAGCTATGTGCAACTTGATGGCTTGGCTGCCGGTGAAGGGTGCGGGAGGGGGCGCTTCGCGCCCAGCGACAGTGTTAAGCGTCCTCCCACCAGGGGATGTGCCAGCTTGGTTTGGAACCGCCCCGGGTCGCGGGGATGCATCGCGGGTCGGCCCGGCCTTTTTGGTTTCCCCAGTTGGCATCCCCTGCCAGCATAGCCGAGTTGCTGCCGTTCACGTGACCACAACGGGCGCAAACTGGTTGTGGACGGTCGTTTTGCAGGGTGAGCTATTTATGGATGAAACAGGTATGAAATCTTTCACGCCCTCTAATATTGCTGCCTCATTTCCCAATCATCGCTTCCGACTAGGCTCGATCACTGGTTAATTGGTTACTCTATGACGTCATCTTATGAGTTTAGTCTCTTTGGTCGAGCACTCTTTCATGCTCTGCTGTCCACTCAAAACTCGAACGCTGGCTTCCTCCACAACGGTCAACAGCTGGCTTCCTCCTCCCCCCACATAGACACACACTGTTCACAAGTTCCCAACATTCTGATCGAATCGTAAAAAACCAAAGTTGCAATCCAACCAACCTCCCCATGTCTCAAGTCCAGACTCCACCAGGCGTGACCATCACCTGCGCGGTCGAAGCTGGCCATCTGGCCATCTTGACGCCCGATGCCCTCAAGTTCCTGGCCACCTTGCATCGCTACTTTGAGCCCACCCGTCGTTCCCTTCTCCAACGTCGTCAACTCGAACAGGCCCGATTGGATGCCGGTGGTCTCCCAAACTTCCACTCGGAAACCAAATGGATCAGAGACAATCTTGCTTGGCAAGCTGCCAGCCCAGCCCCTGGTTTGGTCGGTCAACCTCTGGGCCGTTGATAATTTCGATTTTAGCGCCACAAGTCATTAACACTCTTTTCTCCTGAATCTGTCTCTCTTGTGAATACTGAATAGCAAGATCGTCGGGTTGAAATCACCGGACCGGTGGACCGTAAGATGGTCATCAATGCGCTCAACTCAGGCGCTGCTACCTTCATGGCAGACTTCGAAGGTGGATCCACTTTTCATGCCTTATCAAATATCATCTATAACTGATCTTTCCGCTTTTTTTGTTTTCCAAGACTCGCATGCTCCAACTTGGCTCAACAATCTTGACGGTCAGATCAACATGAGAGATGCCGTTCGAAGACAAATCTCATTCAAAGCCCCCAATGGGAAGGATTATAAACTCAACGATCGTATCGCCACTTTGATCGTCCGAGCTCGGGGTTGGCATCTAGATGAACCGCATCTGCTGGTTGACGGTCAACCCATCAGTGGTGGTATCTTTGACTTCGGACTTTACTTTTTCCATAATGCCAAGGAGTGCATCAAGATGGGCTTTGGTCCTTACTTTTACCTCCCCAAAATGGAGCACTACCTCGAGGCGAGATTATGGAATGATATTTTCAAAGTTTCCCAGGTTGGTGATATTGGTTTTCACGAGCAAACCAATTGAAAATGAATTTTACTAACTGATTCTTTACTTTTACCACGCAGGACTATATTCACATGCCACGTGGGACGATTCGCGCCACTTGCTTGATTGAAACTATTCCTGCCGCATTCCAAATGGATGAGTTCATTTTCGAGCTCAAAGAACATTCGTCTGGTCTTAATTGTGGACGATGGGACTGTTTGTTGTTTATTTTATTAGCTTTCAAGTGTGTACTAACTGGAGCAAAGTCTGATCTTTGTTTCTCTTTGTCAGACATTTTCTCCTTCATCAAAAAAATGCGCCACAATCCTCAATTTGTACTCCCGGATCGTTCTGATGTCACGATGACCGTCCCGTTCATGGACGCCTATGTTCGTCTCCTGATCAAAACTTGTCATTCCAGAGGCGTTGCTGCCATGGGAGGAATGAGTGCGCAGATTCCCATCAAAGACAATCCTAAAGCAAACGAAGCGGCTATCAACAAAGTCAAGGCGGACAAATTGAGAGAGGTTAAGGCTGGGCACGATGGAACATGGGTCGCTCATCCTGCTTTGGTGAAAGTAGCCCTTGACATTTTCAAGTGAGTGGACTTGATGGTCACCGTTGTTGATTCCATCTGGCTGACTTCTTGCTTTATCCAGTGAAAACATGGTTGGACCCAACCAATATCACGTGCGTCGCTCAGAAGTGCAAGTGACTGCCCTCGATTTACTCAACACGAATGTACCCGGAAAAATCACCGAGCACGGTATCCGCGAGAACATATCTGCCGCCTTACAATACTGTGCCAATTGGATCACTGGGGTTGGTTGTGTGCCGATTGCGAATCTGATGGAAGACGCTGCTACTGCAGAAATAGCGCGTCTTCAAATATGGCAGTGGGTTCGACATGGTTCTATGACCGATGCCCACAAAAAAATCACTGCCGAGTGGATCGATCAAATCTTGGAGGAAGAAACTGCTCAAGCCAAGAAGACGACCGCCAAGGGATTAAATCCAGCCAAAGTCGATATAGCACAGCGCTATTTGAGTTCGCAAGCGCATGCACCAGTTCCTGATGATTTTCTGACTAGTGCGCTCATGACCAGGTATGTGCTCATCACCCAGGATCTCTAAATGTACCACTGACTGAAACTTGACTTGGTATGATAGTTTGGATGATATGGCTGCCCCAAACCGACCAAAACTGTAAATAAAAAAAAGTATTCGCGTCCTTCAAATATACTATCGAGCTTGACTACAGGAGAGAGAGCGGAGCAGTTCTTAAGGTTCACAGCTCAAGTTGATCTCCGCGTGGGAAGTTTCATTTGTAATAGTTAATTTGTCTCTTCATCCCTTCAGCCGTTTTCGACTTGATCTTTCCAATCATTTCAGTCAGCTCAAGTATGATAGGCTCGTTTATTGAGTTTTTGCATTTTTTATCTATTTGTTTGAAACTCTAGCATTGTAAGCTAAATAGATGTACCCGCCATTATCACTTTGATATGTATACTATTATTGTTCATTTAGGTTATGCAGTACGATTACCGTCCCTCTTGCTTTTAGCCATTTGCCCAAAGGGTAGACATGGAATAGGGAAAGTTTGCCACGATCTTCCGTAAGAGATTAATTAAGGGAATCACCAACCTAAACAACACTTATGAGTTGGGAGAACAACCCTGTCGGCAGCGGTCCCTCACCGGGTATCATCGCACCTTTTGGAGGCCGTCCGTCGCTTGAGATTTTGGGGTGATGTTGTCTACCAGCTCGCCCCGACGCCGAGGAAAATAAAACACCGTAACTCGCACTACCCTCTTGCTGAGGAGTCTTCTTCACCGAGGGCCGACCGATTCGATGCACCGAGGAAGCCCAAAACGTGAATATAAAGCCACAAACTGTGTCGGACATCATCGTCCGTCTCCGTGGCGCAATTGGTTAGCGCGTTCGACTGTTATGCGAGGTGAAGGTCCCGGTCCGCCTGTACGAGCACATTGGCATTCATCGAGAGGTTGGCAGTTCAAGCCTGCCCGGGGACGGCGCTTTTTGAGCTGCCGAGTGAGGAAGGGAGGATCGGATGTAGGATCTCTGTTGATTCCGAGAATGAAACTCAAATCAAAGAGAGGCGCAGCAATTGGGCATCGATTGGCTTTCCGCAAAAATCAGCTCAAGAAAGTTTACAACAGTACACTTGATTGTACATCATTTTTCTTCTTTTTTGTTTTCTTTATTCGAGAGGGAAAATAGGGATGCTAGCTCTCTCGGGTTGACTGTTGGTAAGAAATCTACTTGTTCTGCAAATCGAGCATGGTTGACAGAACATGTTGTTTGGTGCCGCTCAAAGAGGGACTAACTACATTCCTGACTACATCAACCAGTAAAATAAGTCACTCTTGGCTCAAGAAATCTCTTTGCATGGGCTGAGCGCCCAAGGAGAGTTGGAAAAAGACATGATGGTTGTTTTCTCGGAATGATAGTTCGTTCAGTCAACGGCCAGCTGGTATCTCCCTCCACATAGAAAAAGATTTTTTTATAGTTGATAACATCAAACACTGGATGACTTCCTGTCAACATCTGCGGGTCTCCCAGTTTCCATTTAGAGCTGAAAAAGCTAGATTTCCCTGCGAAAATCTAGACTTTTTGGGTCTAAATCAAAAACTGTGAGGGTCCCAGATCCGACGGGAAGTCCTCCACTGGAAAAGGGTATTTGAATTCTAATCTAATGAATCAGCTGCTTCTAATTCAACCCCTGGAATGTTCTTGAGATGATGGTCAACTCACCTCAGGAAAAAAAAGTGAGTTTCCTTGTGTTGTGGAATTTCATCAACCAGCAAATCAATCATTATAGTTGCAGACCAAGGGATGCTCCTCTCTTTTTTGGAGTTTAGAATTGGAGAATTGGAGAAGCTATCAAAAACGAGCAAATTGAATCACAAAAAAATGAAAAAAGCAACTGCCAATTCACAAACTTGGCCCCCATTTCCACCTCAGTCCAAGCTGTTTGATTTCAAGGCACAGCCTTAATTTTAAACCTACATGAACATGGTTTAAAAAAAACAATTTATGATGGTTTTTTGTAGCAGCTAGTAGAAAAAAACAAAAACCAGAAACTGATATCTCTTATCTGATAGTTATCATGAAAGTTAGCACCTTGATGTGAGCCTCAGAAAACTGGTGTTGGAAGTTTAACCGATTTGTTCATGGTGTCATGAACAGCACCTGCAAGCTCACAAAAGAGCCCCATTGTCTATTCTCGGGCAAGGTGCAAGAGATGAATTCCATTTGTGGTTTTTAAGATCTTCAAACTATGACATACCATGTGAAGTGCTACAGATAAGAAGAAAGCTGGAAGCTCATAACGCAGGGACCAGACACATGGAGTTCAATCTTGATCCTCAACAAAAAAAAAAGAACTGATAAATTGAGGGTCTGTTGCAGTGGCAGATCAAGCATGAAGAAGATATCTATTTATGGTTGTGGGAAATGGAGACCTGCTCTTAGTACCACAAGGATTGCTCAAAAGATGAAACAAGAAGTGTGGGTCTAACAGTGGATCATTTGGATCATCCAGGTCCAAATCAGATTCTTCATAGCTGATCTGGTCCATGTTGTAGGGAGAAGACAAAAGACCCCTTGTATGGAGGAGACTAAAAGTTTCAAGGATCTCCCAGGGGGGTTGGTTTGTGACAGGGAGCGATGTGTTTTACCGAATTAGGTAACTTGGACCACTGAATTCGACTGGCAAACTCTAAACCCGCAACTGCACTAACACCACTTCAGCATCCCGATCAAAACCAGAAACGAACCAGCTCGAGATCAAAGAACGCACACAATACTTGGGCAACATCGATCATCCAACTCGGATTGATATAGAGAACCTGCTCGGGAAAAAAGAAGACAGAAATGGCAGTCGCACTGGCGATGATTCAGAACGTCCCTCAATACATCTCTTCCTTCCGAGTTCGTCATCCTTCTCTCTCTTTCACTTGATCATCATGAGATCCGGAACCCACTCAATCTGACTCGCATTGAAATTGATTGTTATCCCTTTTTTGGGGGCGGGGTGTTTGGAAAAAATCGCAGGAGCAACGCTTATCAGCCATCCGACCGTTTTCAGAATTCTTCGATTATCAGAGGATCTCGCGCCCGAATGATCTGAATGCAGCCACCTCAGTAAGTCCACAACAACCCCCCTTCCCCTCGACGATCGAACGCATCTCTCCAAATAGAAGAGGATCGACTCTAACTCAAGCATGAATGACATCTGCAGAGAATCACCTACAACACTCGCCATTTCAGCGGCAATTATGCCCTGATCGTCGCCGCCTTGGCGGTCTACAGTCTGCTCACAAATCCTCTGCTGTTGATCTCGATCGGCTTCTTAGTCGGTGGATTTGGATGCATCCAACGTTTTGGTGCGCACCCACGATCTCAGTCTGCTCGATCATGTACTCTTGCCTGCCGCAGACGAGAAATCGGCTGAAAGCCGATCGAGTCTCTTTTGAAACTGCTTAGGCCCCGATCCTAATATGCCATCCGAAGGCCAAATGGTCACCCAAAAATCGCTCTACATCACCCTCTTTGTCATCGGCATTCCGATGCTTTGGATCGCTGCGCCCATCGCAACTGCCATGTGTACGCTTCTCCTTGTCCATCTGCATTCAATCACTCAAGTTGACACTCCCCTCCATCCTTTGGTGATTGCTTACAGGGCTTGTGGGATCCTCGGCGGTAACGGTCCTGGGACATGCCTCATTTCTTGAACCCAGTGTCGTCAGTCTTTATATCTCCCCTGATTCTTACCTCTGTTGTTGTTGTTGTCCAAATGCTCCTAGAGCCAATCGATAGTCTCGACCGGCTACGATTTTTTGGTTTAATACTGATCTAAGATGTGCACTTACTCATCACAGGAATCGGAATACTCTTCGGTCCAACAAGTATGAAGCAAAGCCCCAATAGACCCAGACCCAGCATCCTCCCGACTCTCTTGCTTGTACGACTTCTTTTTTTGGATTCCATTCTTGCCTTGCCTTGTTTTTATATATTAGTTGGTTGGGTGGATGAGACGAACAAGGGCATGTTACATCGGGGGTTGATGGGTGTGTTGAATGACATCGGGTCGATTTCTTTTTTTTCTTTCTTTGGCTAACTTTTTGTACGCTTTTTTTGTTGGCACATCCATCCTCTCAAGATGCCCCTCACCTCTTTTTTGTTGGTTTGTTCGTCTGCACATAACCATAGAGTCGCCCAAAATCTGAAATATTTTGCAAATTAATTCCAGTCATTGGCATCCTTTCTCTTCATCCTGACATTCTTTCTCTACATCATCCCCTTTGTCTTCACGTTGCTCTTTTGGTTGCCTGTTTGGTGCTCTGGGGCTAATCTTGCCTGTTACAGTTTTTTTTTCAGATCGAAGAGTGTGATCTGATGTTGATTCATGTTTCAAAAAGCCTCGAGGGAGAGAGAGAGAGAGAAAGAATAACGAGAACAAAAGGGGGAGGGGTCTACATATTACATTGAGATAGGAAGATTTACAACGAAAAAAAAAGTTTCAAGCAGTGAATGATTTAGCATTCCTTAGTGCTTCTCGACATTCATTACCGACCTGCTTAGCGCCCTGGACGCCCGCCTCTTCGAAGGACCTCAGGGCCGGTTCCCATTGGCCCCAGAGCTGATCAGCCGCCGCCCGTGTCTCGGTGGCCAGCAGACCTTTCAGGACGGCAGGCAAACTCAATAACGCCGAGAGATGCAGACCGTCTTCGAACTTGTTGGTGAGTGCAGTCTCAGAAGTCGTGGCGGTTGGATCTGAAGGGCTCTGCAGGTTGCTCGGGGCTCGAGTGCTCGTCAGGCTGGTTGAGAGCTGAGAGATCACTGATAAGGAATCTTGTAGCTGGGACAGAGTTCCATCAAGCTTCTGAGAGCTACTCTTCATCTGATAGATATCATCAAAAAAAAAAAAAAAATAAGGAGGTTCGATTGTCAGGAATGGATGATGATTGAGATATGAGGGTATTAGGGGGCTTGCCTTATCGATCGTTTCGCTTGCTTCGACCAATTCATGATGGTGATTATAGACCAAGCTTTGTCGTTCGCCATCGAGCTCGCGAATCTCGGACATGAGTTCATTGGCGGTCGAGAGGAGGGAGTTTAAGGAGGAGGTTCCGACGAGCTTGTTGAAGTAAGCGTCGACATCGAAGTAGGGCGAATCGATCGAGAGTCGTTCCTGGGGATGGCTCAGCCGAGCCGAGTCGTTAGTCGATCCAGATACATGTGCGAGGCCCGGTTCTTCCGGTCCGGATGGATTGGCGGCCTCGGTTGGGTTCCCGAGACCGTAGTAGTCTCGTAGAAGGTTCCTCGCCCGCCGCTTCGCTAGGACCGGATCCCCCGTCGTACCCACCTTGCCCAGGACGGGCGGATGGCTTGGGAAGTTCATCTGATGGGCCGTGGATGGTGCGCTGCTTTGAGGGGAGGAGGTCGTCGAGCTACTGGTTGTCCGGGTAAGTACCTTGGGCGTCCGGGATGGAGAGACCGATACGGTGGGGAGTGACGACTTTCGCTGCATGATGACGGCACTCTTAAACGATTCTCACAAGCCTGCTTGGATATCCAGTGATTACTAGATTTAATCTCGAGCCACTGTACTGTGAATCAATCTTTCATCAGCACCGCATATCAATCATAGGAAAACGAGTGTTGGGAAACTAACTGCAACTGAAATCTTGAGCCGATCAGCAAACGAGCATCCTTGATGCGCAATTCGACCGACCAATCCTCGCCGCAGGAATCTCAGCTGAGTTCGTGGGTTTGTTGCGAGTCGAAAGTGAGATTGTTTGTGAAGGTGTTTGTTGGTGATCGATCGACTATTTATGTACGTAGTCTGAGGTCATCACTCATTGAGAAGGCACGTGACAGCTGAGGGGAGACGAGGATGTCACAGGAGATGTCACAGAGCTCTTCTCGCCTGGCTGTCGGAGCTGTCCGGCTGGTGAAGCGACTCACATCCACCAAACCCATCAAAGACGACCATCACCCTGTACAATCCAATCCAACCCAATCGACTCACAAAATGATCAACTACCTCACCAACCGTACGTCCATAAACCAGGCCGCCGTAGTCGACAAAACAGCTGACGACTTGCTCCTTGCCTTGTCTGACTGACTGACTGACCGATGATCGAATGTAGTGCCCAATCGAATCCCCGAGAAACAGAGGATGTTTCAAGTACGTTTTCTTCTTCCCCTCTATCGAATTCTTGCTTTGCAATCATCATCGATCGGTTATTAGGAAGATGTTGATCGATCGTTGGGTGGGTGTGGATTTTGATCTATTCAGGGCGACCATCGATTGGTTCATCAGAAGTTACCTCGCGCTCGAGTCTACATGGGTCAGTCTTCTTGGGCTTTTCTGGATGATGATCATAATTTTTTTTGGTTCAACCTGGAATTATCTGGACGGGTATTGACAATTGAAATCCTCCTCTTGTAGGGATCTATTACACCATCTTTGGTGCTAGTATGCTTTGGTCTGCTAATGGGCTTTACAAGTTGATCCGGGTACGTACATCTCTTTGAACATCTCTGGTCTTTTTTTTTCTTTCGAAAGAATGACCCTCGGCTGATTTTTTCTGTTTGCCTTTTCTACCCGGGTGGCTTGACAATCGTGACCTATCCTCTTTTCATCCCCGATCTTTCGTATCGTTCCATTTTTTCATTCTTCAAATCGTTTCACTTTCCACCGACCATCAACATTGCTTCTTCTCTTAACCAACTATCAATCGTCATTTTCTTTTTGCTCCGTACTGCTTCAATGTGCTCTCATTGGATTATCGATCATCAGGGAAAGAAGTGAACTCCTCAACTTAATAGATGTTTTTTTTTGCTCGTTTTCATTTTTGTGTTTATCGATCACAGCAATCTCAAGCTCTTCGATCATCATCTTTCATCTCAACAAAAAAAAACACAAAGCAACACCATCAAGCCTTCTCTGACCCTTGCTTTCAGAGATACATAATCATCATTGCATTTTCTTATGATAGGAAAATAAAGAAATAAACGCTTAAAGCTTTGTTTGGGTATTGGTTGGTGAAAGATATGAATCAGAGAATGTGTAGGGATGAGAAGCCAGAACGTTTCCTACACACCGGTGGTAATCAGGCTCTAGCTTGTTCCCTCAGCATGCTTATAGGGACATGTCTGCCAGCTGGACTGTTCTCTCTCACCCAACTATCAACACCTATTCAATACTTTCCGGCTGCATTTGTATCGGGAGACGGATATGTGCCTGGCTGGAAGCCCCAACACTAGGATATTGTTGATCATGTTCTCAGTGGTAGACTCTTTACTGTTCATTGGTTCTTGGGTTCAGCTACTTCCAATACGAGTCGATGGCAGAATGCTACACTTTCTGCTAATTCTTTTTTGATTATCTTCCTTTGTGGTGATATAGACAGATCGGAAATCGCTAGTCAGCTGCCCTCCTCAAGCAGAGCCTACTCGTGGGTTCTTCAGATTGGCCTACATGGAGAACTGTCTGGTTTGAAGGGAGCAGTAAGGAAATGTTATGATGGATTGATTGGGGAATAGGTTGGGTGAGGTGATGGACTAACATGACGCGGGTGTGGATACTTCAGACTAAGCGGAGCAATATCCGGTGGCGTCCACTCCCGTCATCCAGCGAGCTTCACCCATCACCCACCAAATTAAACAGCGACCACCACCACCACTCAAGATATCCCTCATCACTATCTGATCAGCTACTTCAACCCATCGCTGCCCGGAAAGAAAAAATGCGTGCGGCTCGGATCCTACGTCAAGTCTCCAATGAGGCCAAGAAGCCTGCAACCCAGCAACGTCATACGGCCGCAGACCCGTTCTTGTATCACACTAAACCTCCATCTGCGTTTTGGGAAAAATTCAGAAAGATGATGGCCATCAATCCGTAAGTGATACTGGATCCAGTCCACTCAATTGTTGGAATACAAGAAGAACTGAAAAAAAAAAAAAACGGGGTTGTTGTGGTTTATCATAGGGAATCATCATCATCAGGAATGCAATTGAACGAGGTTTTCAGATCGCCTCCGCCGGCATCTATCAAGACCGTCCAAGTGACACCGGCCTCCAAGGCCTCGGATCCGGCCGAAAACCCGTACCATGAGCGCGACTTTCGTCGGATGTATCCTCGCTTGGAGATGGTCACCCAGACCGATCTTGCCGACTTGTTGATTGCGGCGCCTGAGCGAATGCAGTATGTGTACTCGATCAGAAACCTCTCTATGTAGGAAAAAAAAAATCTGGACGAAGACTCATGGATCTCTTGTCGGGAAATCGTTCTTCTTGTTTGTTTCTTAAGGTTGCCTTCCCCTTCCTCCGCCACCTCCTCGGCCACCTCGCTCACTTCCGGATCTGAGAACAGCCCCTCATTGGCAGCCTTGTACCTCTCCTCATCGGCTTCCTCCTCAGAATCTTCATCCACTTTTGTCCCCCCGACACCTCCTGGCAAGCCTCGTTGAGTCTCTCCTTTCTCTCGACGCTGCTTTCTCTTATATCTATGATCGGCCATCACTACTCACATCTAACATTCCATCACTGGTCACATCCAACATTCATTTGGCTTCTCAACCTTTTTTTTTTAGATCGATACAGTCTCGGTGAACAGCCCCCTCAGAACAAGGATGCTCATTTCCCCATGTCAGTGTCCCATTTGTATTTGCCCACACACATCCACATATACTAACTATCCAACATTTATTTCCCCTTGATTTGTTGAATTATGAAGGTTGAATTATTCTTAAAGCTTTCGCAATCACCAAAGGCAAAAAAAAGAATATAGAACATAGACATGAGCGATGCTTCTTTTTCAGAATTAACATGCGATGATTATCATAATCAATCGGAAAAGAAGTATAATAGTCCGAACGAAGGCTTGATAAACATATGAATTTCTTCTCTAGATCAACTCTCACTTACACTTTCTACACCAATGCTTGAGATCTATTTTAGTCAGATTCAATTATATTGATTGTTATCTGAAATTGAAATGGTTCTTGTGTAACAAGGCAAGTGGAGATCGAGATGATCGATCTTAAAGAGCATTGGGTGGTGTTCTCCAGGCCAATCACTAGTATGTCTCGTATGATAGTTCATCAAGAATTATCCCAATTCTTCAGCTATATCCTGCGTCCAGTTTTGTCTTTCTAACTAGTATCCGTGATTCAACATTAGCACAATCAAATCTTTACCTGATGGTGATCGTTGGGGGCACCTGACCAGAACGTTTTCCAAGCCATTTTTTCGCCTCTGGTTTGATGTACCTCTGCTTCGAACTTGACAAGTCACCTGCGAGCGCGCCACCTTGAGGGTGACCACGTCCACAGACTACCATTGACTTGTGGTGTTCAGTGCAACTCTATGTACCCGGAGAATCGAAAGGTCAGTACCGGCCTCAAGGAGCTGTCGCAAGAAGCTGCCGATGTAGCACAACGGGTGCGCCCATTCAGAATACAGACCCGAAGACCGGAGGCGCCACTATGCGTTGCTACTTATTTACATACGATCCACAATACTCGGGTGTATGCGACATCGTGTTGGTGATCTTAACAAGGGGCACATGATTTGTTAGGTAGCTATATTCCGATACACCAGTTACATCAACTTACTTCACCCGAACCGTTGTTGAGTGGCAGCAGCCCTCCTGCTCACTTCTCTGCGCTTGTAGCCAGACAAGCGGCAGTTCGACCGCATTAGCAGGTATCGCCCGATTCCGGCTGGCGCGGGCGAACTACACAGCCAAGGTGCCGAGAAACTGCGCTCCCTAGGTCATAGATGGACCCATGGTGGCTCCCGGAGGCCTAAGTCCAACACGAAACGCCATCATGTGCGTTGATAAAAATCGGTTGGAGAATCAGCGCAACTCTAATAAAAGTGCAAAGATGCCAGCTCCACATCACATTCTCTTACAGCTGCTGATACGCACAACCGATCTTCGCCATACATTTCATTCGCCAGGATTCAGGCGTATGTAAGTATCATTCCGGGGTGTTTCATTGTCTCAACCTGAGCCTTCGGCAATAGCTATTACTATTAGGGATATAGCTATATTTCAACTTTTGTACATTCTTCCGGTTCCCTCTTTTCAATCAATTTCTTTGTCTATCTTATATCTTGGCTCACTAAAATGCGCCTTATCAACATTCATTTAACATGCAACACTTTACTATGGGGACAGATTATCTTGGTCAACTTTTGTCCAGAATCGCAGGCAGCTGACTCCAGTCGACCAACCACGCCGATTCCCGCGCCTAAAAGCTATGCTCCTGAAAGAGTGTCTTGCCCTGCACACCTGTCCGTGTCAACTTCCTCCGCCTACCCAGTACGCGACCAAGTCCGATTTCTCGTGATTTCCCGATAACATATAGCGCAGCTCACGCTCATACTACATTTCTCTTCTGATTCCCTGAATTAGTGGCCCGCAAGTTCAGCTGAGCAAGCATATGTCTCATCCAAGACTGCCAAATCGCTCAAACCATGGGAAGATTATCTGTCAAGGGTCAATCTGAAAGGCTTCGACGTCAAAGAGTTCTTGAAAAGCTCGACCCACAATGGCTTAGTTGCTGGTCGAAATCTCCCAAATATCGCGTTCAGTCTCACCGGAGGTGGCAATCGAGCACTCCTTTATTCCGCCTCGATCTTGGATGCCTTTGACTCCAGGAATCCTGACGCCAACAAAGCCCGCACAGGTGGTGTACTCCAACTGGCCAATTTCGCCTCAGGATTATCTTCGTAGGTCCCCCCCCCGCCTAATATTTACCAAAATTGTTGGACTAGATATTGGTATTAACAACATAACCTCGAAATTATAGCTCTTCCTGGTTTCTGGCCAGTTGGGGGAATGCCAACTTCGTCAGATTCCCTGAACTCGCAGATCATGTGTGGCAGTCAGAATTCTCACATGATTACTTCAGTTGGAATCAATTGAAGCATTACATCCGTCACTATCGTGATGCCAGACAAAAGAAAAAGGCCGGTTTTCATGTCAGCGCCGTCGAGTGAGTCTCAGGAATCCGAAAATCCTCTCGAACTGATTCGATACTGAGATCTTTTCTTTGGGGGGGCCGAAACAGTATCTGGGGACGGGTACTTTCAAGGAATCTCTTGTGGGTGGATGTCCACCCTGCATCTCTTTAGTAGAATATTTCTAACCACACAATTTAACTCCAGAAATGACCCAAATATCGGGAAGAACTTTGACACTATCATCAATGCGATATAAATCTGAATACGTCCAACAATCGTTTCCATTTCCAATCATTGTGGCAACGTCTCGCAAGCAAGAAGCGGCTGATATGAGGGGGGACAGTCCGATATGTGAGTCCACTCTGTGGCTCAGTGTTTTTAAACTGGAAACTGATATGTCACAAGAATGTTTTATTTGAAACTTAATTATTATAAAGACGAATTCACGCCGGAAGATGTTAATGTATGGCATCCCACCCTGAATGCCACTTTTCCAATCGAGTATCTTGGTTCAAAAACCGGCGCGGCTACCAATAAAGTAACAGAATGTGTCACCGGATTCGACAACATTGGGTTAGTAAGACTTCCCTCTCAGAATACTATTCCAAGATTGAGTTCCCAAATTTAATCGCGTGATAATGCCGCTTTCAATGCCACATCTTCTGTCTTAGGTTTCTGATTGTAAGCATAAATCAACAAAAAAAGAACTTCCAAAAACGTTCAAGCGCTAACATACAGAGTGGAACTTGATCAGGGAGCTTCCAGTAACATTTTTAGCTATCTGGTATGTTTTTCAACTTACTTGTCTGATAAGTGAACCATCCACTGCGACTGATAATTGAATATTCTAATCTCAGGATGGGAAAGTAAAAAAGAAATCATTTTTGAGTCGAGTAATGAAGATGTTTGTGAAAGGGAGATTTTACGAGGCTTTAGTAAGTGTTTAGATGAAACAACAGGAGAATCATTTTTTTACAGATCAAGATGATGATTCGTATTCAATATCCAATGGTTCTACTAATTCTGATCTAGGTTCCCAACCCGTTCATGGGCCAAGGCAAGGGGCCTACTCCAGGACATGGCTTTCCGGATGGAGAGAACGAAGAACTCCTCTTGGCTGATGGGGCGCTGGCCCAAGAATCGATGCCTTTGTTCCCGTTCCTGCAACCTTCAAGAATGGTGGATGTTATCATGGCTGTGGACTCAGTGAGTCTAAATCAGATCCACGATCTCTGTCCTCTGCTAGTCGTGATTTTATGTCTGATGAGCGTCATTTTCTGATTTGCTTGCAGGCAGTCAATGGCAAATCGTTTGACAATCCGAATGAGAAAGGCTGTTAGTCTTCATGTCTAATTCACTGGGCTCTTGCTTAGTATCTGACTGGCAGAATTGACTGTTTTGTTTAGATCCCAACGGTACATCATTGTATCGAACTAGTATGAAGCTAAAACAGAATGGCTACGGCGGCTATAAATTTCCAGAGTAAGCTCGAGATGGAATGGCCAACAATACATATTTTAGGCACTATAGTCTCGAGGGAAATTATTTCTTATTGATCATCATTTTTTTTTTTTTTTTTTTTCATGTATAGTGTTCCAGAAACCTACCAACATACAACATTCACTGACCGGGGCTACAACAGACGACCGACCTTCTTTGGATGTGACAAAGACGTGCCGCTGGTAGTTTATCTCCCCAATCACTTTGTTACAAAGGAGACCGACCAATCCACCATGCAGGCCGTTTACAAAGTAAGGGCTACGAAAAGCTTAGCTTTTTTAAAAACAAAAGAACACAATAAATGCTGACAAGCTTACTTTATTAATCGTTCCAGAAAGAAGAGATCAAAGGGTCCTTCGAAAACGGATTCTACATCGCCACTCAAACCCACCCATCGCAAAATGGAACTGAATGGCCTGCGTGTTTGGCATGCGCACTCATCGATCGACAGAATACCAGAAACGGAACCCCAAGAACACCGCAATGTACATCTTGTTTCTCCAGTTATTGCGCTAGTGGCTTTTAAGACAAAATCCATCCAAATCCAGAACAATCTCATTCTTTCCTTTCTTCTTCACGTTCTTTTCGTCTTCGTCTTCTTCTTGTGTGTACATTTTAATCAACATCTGTCTTTTGATCCAAATCTACCAGTCTAAACACAACAGTGTAATACATTTGTTTTGAGAGTTTATGTAGTACTGAAACCCACTTGGAAAACAAAACTGAACTGAGTTTTCAAGATTGCATAAGATCAGACTGGCAGGTTTCAGAAAATTGTCTGGTCATGCTTTTGATGTATCAGTCCACAATTGTGCTTGAAGTCTGGATCAAGGGTTCTTCAAGAGTTCAATTGGTTTTTTTGGGGGGGTTTACATGAAATTTTAAGATTTTGATGTGATTCAGATTCTCATTCAGTTTTTTAGGGATTGTTGATGCTTGGCTGGATTTTCTAATATTGACCCGGTGTAGCCTGGGCTATAGCACAGTCTATTGTGGCCAGTTGCAGAATCTTCCATGAGCTTGTTCTATAATCAAATATTGTCTATTACAATGTGTTATACTTATTTCTATGATTTTCTTTTCTGATTAGAGTGTTTTGCAAATTTTGATGTGGCATAGAAAATCCAGAAGTATTTGAATTAAACAGTGTTGGTAGACTAAAATGAGGCTAATACATTGCTGATGCATTTAGTTTCAGTAGCATTTTTAGCATAGAGGACCGGTGTTTCTCACACTCATCACTCCCCCCAACTTCTTCAAATTTGATTGATTGAATTTGTATATTTCATTTGAGAATATCTTCAGACCTGGAGAGATTGGTGTTGGTATTCTCAACCCTTTGTCTTGATTTTCTCATCATATTCACATTCATTTGCATATCTAGTATCTCAATACCAAAGGTCCCATATCTTTTTCATTTCACTCAGGGGCTCCTGGGCCATTTGACCACATCTACCAAAGTGAGAGCTGACACCATCTTTAATCAAGCCACCATTGCTTGAGCCAATTCAGCTATTATATTTCTTCTCAGAATTTCCAGTTTCATCAATTGTTAATGATTTGCTGAAGCCAATTTCTTTTGGAGGAATGTTTTGCTCAAATTAGGATATAAGCCATTTCAAACTGCATGAATTCATGTGCTTGATGTAAAAAATGGCGTGTAAGGCCTAATTGAAGACATACGTCAGATGTTAAATTCAAAGTAGCAGGGGTTGAAGCCTTGTTTGGCTAGGATGAAGATGAGGGACTACAAGGCAAGTGTAAAGCCAAATCTTGGAAATCAGATCAAGGTGTGATTGAAATTTCACAAAAAGGTGTGATTGAAATTTCACAAAAGAAGCACCCATTTGAGGAAATTGACGGTGGCTAAAGGTGTACCACCAGACAAGTGTTTCAAGGTGACCTGCGGTGTTGGCTGTATAAGATTAGACCTGCAAGGTTCACTTGCAATGACTTTTAACAAGGACAAGTAGAAGAGATTCAGTCTCAGGCCAAGGGGGCAACAAGTCAAGAATTGTTGTGAGGTGAATGTATTGAGAAGAATTTCTGGCCAGTGGCAGTGTCATTCTGGGTGTTTGGAATGAAACCACATTAATTGGCAAAGTTGACATTCATTAGTGCATCAAACTCTCACCTGACAGTGGAGGTTCAGGGAAACTGGCGTGATGAAGTTGTTTTCCTTAAGCAAAACCCGTTTTTTTGTGTTCTGATCACAGGCTGCTGGATGAATTATCGCTAAAATGTGTTCTGGATCATACACCGTGCCGGCAGGACCCCGAACGTATATACTGGTCTAGAATACATGTCCGAACGTCGGGGGCGATGCTGACAGCTGTGCAATGCTCCGGCCTGCAATATTTAAATACTTGTTTGTGTCATCTTGTCCGGGATCTTAACAAGGGGGCACATAATTTGTTGGATATTAATACAATGATTCTCATACATCAATTGCAATTCCTTTTCCTCTGTCTCATGCCTCTTGGCTGGTTTTCTTTCTTCCCTGACCCGGGCAAGCGCCAATTCTCCAGAGCCAGGTTCCGGTACAGCCGCCCAATTCTGCAGCGGAGAGATTCCCCATGATGTTTTTAGCAGACTGAACTTGCCATCAAAACCTCTGTGGGACTGGTTAGACTCAGAGGCTGCCAAAGGATTGCCGCAAGTCTGCCACTCAACGAAACCGCTTGACTTGTGGCTCTTTTGCAGCTGCTGATACAGCCGGGCCATACACGCATTTCCAAGTTGTTGTATACATAGCATGTAGAGGGTCGAGCTCTGATGAAACTTCAATGCTCGGAATTCAGGCCCATGTATCATCATTCCGGGATGTTTCACTGGGTGAACTTGGTGCTTCGGTGATGTCCTCCTCCACACACCCTTGGGGATAGCTAAAGCCTATTAATTAGCCTTCGCACACTCCACCCGTTCCCCTTCCCCGATTACGATTCCTGACTAATTTATTTCTTGGCTCGCTGCAATGCGCCTTCTTAACACTCATTTAACACTAAAAATTCTACTATGGGGACACACTCTCTTCGGCTATTGCAAAGAATCGCAGGCAGCTGACTCTAGTCGGGCAACCACACCGCTTCCCACACCTAAAAGCTATGCTCCTGAAAAAATCTCTTGTCCTGCAAGCCTGTCCGTGTCAATCTCCTCAACATACCCAGTACGAGACAAGTCCCATTTCTTACAATTTGACCCTAGAAGACACATTGGCACACGCTGACATCGCCTTTCTTTCCTCCGCCCTTCCAGTGGCCCACAAGCTCGGCTGAGCAAGCTTATATCTCGTCCAAGACTACCAAATCCCTCAAAACATGGGAAGATTATTTATGCAGGGTGAATCTGACCGGCTTCGACGTGAAAGAATTTTTGAAAAATTCGACACGCGATGGCCAAGTTGCTGGTCGAAATCTACCCAACATAGCGTTCAGTCTATCGGGAGGCGGAAATCGAGCACTCCTATATGCCGCCTCGATCATGGATGCTTTCGATTCCAGAAATCCTCAAGCCAACGAAGCCCGTACCGGCGGTGTACTCCAACTGGCCAATTTCGCCTCAGGCTTGTCTGCGTATGTTTTCAAATGTTGATAAACATTAATCATCTACCAAAGGTAGTCTTGACCAAATGAAATTAAAAATTCGTCGAAATTACAGCTCTTCCTGGCTTCTTGCAAGTTGGGGGAAAGCTAACTTCATTAGATTCCCTGAGCTGGCAGATAATGCGTGGCATTCGGCATTTACACACGGCTACTTCAGTTGGAAACGTATGAAGCATTACCCTCACCACTATCGTGATCTCAGGAAGAAGAAAAAGGCCGGTTTCCACGTCAGTGTAGTTGAGTAAGTTCAACTTCGAAGAGTATGAAAGGATCTCGTAAAAGAATTTGAATCTAAAAACAAATCTGAACCAACACAGTATCTGGGGAAGGATACTATCAAAAAATCTCTTGTGGGTGGATTTCGACCCTGAGGATTTTCATTTAAAACAATCTAACCAATTTTGGATTCCAGAAATGACCCAGACGTCGGAAGAACGTTGACACTATCATCGCTGCGATCTAAATCTGAATATGTTGAGCAATCCGTTCCCTTTCCGATCCTTGTGACAACCTCAAGAAAACAAGAAGGCGCCGATCTTGATTTGGACAGCCCAATATGTGAGCCCAGATATCCTGAAGTCTTCAAAGAGTGGAATCTAAGCCGTTACATGCTTTTCGGTACTTGGCAAAGACGAATTCACGCCGGAAGATATCAATGTGTGGCATCCGACCTTGAATGCGACCTTTCCAATCGAATATCTTGGTTCAAAGGCGGGCGCGGTCACCAATAAAGCAACAGAGTGTGTCACTGGTTTCGATAACCTTGGGTTAGTAAGACTTCCCTTTATGCTTCTCTGATATGAGATTCCCAATTTCATTGGAACACTAATAGCAGTTTGAATGCCAAATCCTCCGCCTTAGATTCTTGATGGTGAGTGAAAAAAAAAACTACAAGAAACATGCCGAAACTCAACACTAAGACATGCGTTGAAAATCGATTAGGGGGCTTCCAGCAACATTTTTAGTTATCAGGTATAATTTCGATTAACCAACCCGAATTAAGGTGAGCGGAGGTCTGAGACTGAAAAGACACTAACTTGACATTAGGATGGGAAAAAAATAAGTAAATCGATGTTGGCTGGCCTGGCGAGTATGTTTGTGAAAGGCAGATTCTATGAGGCTTTGGTAAGCATTGACTTGACCCAGCGGGACTTAAAAATTGATGAGTAAATGTCCATTAGTAAAACATATAAACTTCAATCATTATTTATAGGTACCCAACCCGTTCATGGGTCAAGGCATGGGTCCTGCGCCTGGAACTGGTTATCCCGATGGAGAAAGGGACGAACTTCTCCTGGCCGATGGGGCGATGGCCCAAGAGTCAATGCCTTTGTTCCCACTTCTGCAACCTTCCAGAATGGTGGATGTCATACTGGCTGTGGACTCAGTTAGTTGATGTTCGATTAACGATCCTCTTTTCTGGGTGAAGTTTCTGATCACCTTGACTTTTTCCATTTTCTTACAGTCAGTCGATGGAAGAGCGTTTGACAATCCGAACCAGAAAGGATGTGAGCCAGGATGATAGATCTCGTGATTCCTTGCTCAATATTTTACTGAAAAAAAAAAACTTTTTATCCAGATCCCAACGGCACATCGTTGTACCGCACTAGCATGAAGCTACAGCAGGAGGGCTATCGAGGCTTCAAGTTTCCAGAGTAAGCACAAGACGGGTTAACATTCGCGCGTGTTTCAGGCCCCGAAAGATTCGAGGGAATTGACGATTGTTGACCATCAAACTTGGGTGTTTAGAGTTCCAGAAACATACAAACATACGACCTTCACTGATCGGGGCTATCACAGACGGCCAACTTTCTTCGGATGTGACAAAGACGTTCCCCTGGTGGTTTATATTCCCAATCACTTCGTGACAAAAGATACCAGCCAGTCCACCATGCAAGCAGTTTATAAAGTGGGTACTTTTTTAATTCTTATCAAAAGAGTTCAACCGGAATCAACAGCGCTTATAATCTTAATATCGTACATATATCCAGAAAGAAGACATAAAAGGTTTTTTCGAGAACGGATTCTACGTGGCGACTCAAACACACTCATCGCAAAATGACACGGAGTGGCCTTCGTGTCTGGCATGCGCACTGGTTGATCGCCAAAATACCAGAAATGGAATGCAAAGAACACCTCAATGCATATCTTGTTTCACAAGGTATTGCGCTAGTGGATTTTGAAACAAATTTAATTTGAAATTTTCTTAGCCTTTCCTTTCCTTTCCAATGACCAAATAAACATAAATTTGCTATTTAATATTTGCATTTCATTTGAATCTAATTCTCAAAGTATAACATCGAGTTTGTGATTTGTTTTGTAATACTGATACCATTAAAGGAACATAAGGATGGAATTTGGTTACATATCCAGTTCACAACTTAAATTGAAATTAATTGTTAATGTTTTTGAAAATCACATCAGTGGGATTTGCACAATGCTTTGTGAATCAGGTCATACAAAATATTACTTGTTACTACCATTTTGTTTGTATTTAATTGGGTATTTGTGATGTTCCTTGAGCAGTTAGATAATAGTGTGCCCCAGAAAAAACCTTAGATCCATACAGAAATCAATTTTTCCACACTAATTTAAAAAAATTGGTTCCCAGCATCTCTTCTCCTTAATATATTTTGTGAATATAAGGTAAAGTCTACACTGAATCTTTGGGGGAAAGGCACATCTTAAGCCCCTTCAATACAGCCACCTATGAGGCCAATTATTGATCCTCTCTTTGCTTGAGGGATATAAGATATGTTGGGAGATTTCAAATTGCTTTAGGGCCTTAGCTAATCAACTCCCAAACTTGGGAGGATCAACTCCCAAATTTGGGAGTTGTTGCGAGGACCCCTTGAGGAAAGTCCCAGGATGTCCCCAGTCCCAATAGCCTGGCTCCCCCGGGCCCTAAGCCGTGGTAGTTGCTCCTCCCATTCCTGCAGTAGGAATGGGAGTTGATTCCCTAATGAAAATAATAAAAAATAAATTATTCCCCGGAAAAATATTGTGGGGAATGTCCTCCAAATCTTTATGCCCCTCCTGGCAGTCAAGATTTGGACAGACACGTTCAGCGGCTGGAGGGAATCCTTCTGGCCATTTGTTGAGTTTTTGAATCTGCTCTGCACATGACAAGAGACTGTGGACCTAGCACACCAATTGCTTAGGGTTTGAGACTCACTCTTGGTATCTAGAATTCTTGAGACGGACTTCAATCATTCCACAACCAATCGAGAAATATCCCGGTTCAACTTCCTCAAATTCAATTCTGCAACCAATAATCATTGAACAGCAACAAAATTCCTCAAGCTCATCACCGGAATAATCATTCTAGTAATGTAAATTGCCTCAAAATGAGCCCTTCCTTGACCCAATCTGAGCTCTGAATCTTTTATTCTTCCCTTGTTTATTCTTATCTTAGATTTAGCTTTCACATTCCTCTACTTCTTAATGATTCTTCCAGTTGCTGAGAGTGTGCAACCTCAGTGAACAAGAGAACAGAAACCTGAGGAATCCTCCCGTTTGCTGAGAGTGTAAAACTCTTAGGAAACAGGTTGTACCAGCACTGGGTCTATACCATAATTTACTATAACTGGTCCTTTTCAGTATATTAAAGTTTCCTCAAATTTCTATTTACTATACCAATACTATAACCTGCACATTTCCCACCAATATTGGTATAGTATAGGCCACTTTTTGTGGCTCCAAAATTCAAATATATTATAAGGGCCTTGGCTTTATCAGCCATTATGAACTCCAGAGAGCCCTTCTGTGTTCAAGAAACTCTCAAAAGTAGCCATAGGTGGTTTTAGCAGCATCCAGGTCAGCTTATACACCTGGGGTGCAGTTTGACGTGGTCCGACACCGCTTTTGGCCGTGGATCCCAAGAGTGACCACTGCGGGGGGTCGGACCAGGACCTGTCAGTCCAGAGTTTTCTGTGGGCCCCACCCACCCATCCACAGCGCCCCTCCGAAGCTGCCCTGAGGAGCCAGCATGAATCCGGGTAGGGCCGCAGTTGCAGAAACAACGGTGACCTCAAAAGGGAACCCAAGCGGCAGAGTGGACTGGCCGGCCAAGGGGTAACCTTGACCACTAGTGCACAGGGACATGTTGGTATCCCCCTCCTTCCAAAACCAGATTGACCAGTACTGCTTGGTTCCAGGTTTTTTTTACTGACATCACAAAAAGATTTTTTGAAGTTTTTTTTTTTTCTTCAATGTTCATTTTTCTTGAGCTTTTAGAATGTCAGTGTTGAGATCTGACCTCGATCCCTCTAGACTTTAGCAGTGTTTTACCTAAGGGAACCGGATTACATGATCAGTCTGGTTTGCAATGACATCATCACTACATTTCACTTTCTCTCAGATATATAGACCGCTCTCTTTTCCGAAACATTTCTTCCTTCCTCATGACTCCAGAATTATATTTTGATTAGGGTCTTGGCTAATCGACTCCCAACAATTGGAGAGTCGACTCCCAATCCCCAAAACCCCCGGAATTTTCACCGAAATCCCCGAGGAATGGGAGTCGATCCTCCAAACCCGTCAGCGGGTTTGGGAGTCGAAAAGCCAAGCATTTTTATTAAAAAATAATCCAACCCCTGAAGGAGTTGGGGGTCAATTCCCCAAAACCCACTGGGTTTTGGGGGTTGCTAACTAAAAAGAGCCCGCGTCGGCCGGGAGGATTCCTCCCGGCCGCTGATGGCACATTTTAGTTAGCGACCCCCAAAACTCTCAACAGCCGAGAGAAACACTCTCGGCTGTTGAGAGTGTACACTCTCAACGGCCGAGAGTGTTTCTCACGGCCGCTGAGGGTGTGCCATCAGCGGCCGGGAGGAATCCTCCCGGCCGACGCGGGCTATTTTTAGTTAGCGACCCCCAAAACCCAGTGGGTTTTGGGGAATTGACCCCCAACTCCTTCGGGGGTTGGATTATTTTTTAATAAAAATGCTTGGCTTTTTGACTCCCAAACCTGCTGACGGGTTTGGAGGATCGACTCCCATTCCTCGGGGATTTCGGTGAAAATTCCGGGGGTTTCGGGGATTGGGAGTCGACTCTCCAAGTTTTGGGAGTCGATTAGCCAAGACCCTTTTATTATTATCATCTTAAATCACATCACTTCTTTTCTGGATTCATCATCGTTGTTCTTTCCTCTACACATTAAACAACCTCTTACATTGACTCAACTCCGGTCATCAATCCTTGCTACACAACCAATCTCCCTTCCATTCGACTCTCCGTTGATTCAAGTTCCCTTCCATTCGACTCTCCGTTGATTCAAGTTCCCTTCCACTCGACTCTCCGCCGATTCTCTTTTAGTCGATACAGCTTCCTTATAGTCGTAGGTTCTTGACTCACCTCTTTGCTTTATCAACCGAGCTAAGATCTTCTTCCTGACACTTTTGACTATTAGTCACCTTTCTTCTCTTTTGTCACCTGTGTTCTTATTGTCGTTGTCGCGTCTCTTGTTCGACTGCTCCTGCCTTAAGGTACCATTTCATTTCTTTTATTTTTCTTTCTATTGTATTTCTTAGTCACTGTGCTTATTAAGAAATCCATCCTTAAGTTTGACACTTAACATTCAGGACCCGTTCGAGCGGGTCCGGGCTGTAGTTAGAAAAAGAATTGGCCGCCGTGGGACCGACGTGAGCAACAAGCCCAATCGGCTTGTATGTGGAATTGTGGAACCAACGTCAAAAAAAAAGTCGGTTCATGGAACCGCCGTCAAAATCGGCTCTTACCAAAGCTTTACAGAGCCAATCTTGTCGGCTCCACGGAGGGGCAGTGATCCGTGGGATCCACAATCAGGCTCGGCAGGAACTGCCCCTGGGGTGTAGTAGAGTAAATCACCCAAAACGAATTTCCTGTTCTCCTCAGTTATAGTAAAGGGCCCTGAAAATCTGACTCTAACCACACTCTTTATAGTAAAGTTGGAAATATATATACCATAACAATACTATACCAATAACCGTAATGTATAGGCCCAGTATTGGTTGTACACTCTCAGCAACCAGGAGGCTTTGAAGGGACTGGGTTGTACACTCTCAGCAACCAGGAGGCTTTGAAGGGACTGGGCTGTACACTCTCAGCAACCAGGAGGAATCCTCACGGTTGCTGATAGTGTACAAACCTCAGTGACTGAGAAAATCCTCACGGTTGCTGATAGTGTACAAACCTCGGCAACTGAGAGAATCCCTTTGGCTGCTGAGGTTCAGCTCTCAGAAACTGATAGAATCCTCCTGGTTGCTGAGAGCTGTACCCTCCCAGAAACCTGGAGGAATTCCTCCAGTTGCTGAGAGGTGTACACCCTTGTCAGCTCAGAGTGATAACTCCTGGCTGTTGAGGTGTGCAGGCTGGCAGGGGGGGGGGTACAAACTTCAACGGCCAGGAGGATTCCCTCCAGCCACTGAAAATGTCCAAATCTTGACACCAGGAAAAGATTTGGAGGGCATTCCTGCAACAGACAGGCACAGCACACAGCAAAACTCAAAAAATATCTATGAAAATGATTTCAGTTAAAGAAGTTTAATCATGAGGCAAATCAAGAAAATTCAGAAACATAAGTAAGAAAATAAAGCTAAGACAAGGAAAAAAAAACTGATATTTTATTTCTCTTCTAAAATGAAGAAAAGAATAAATAAGAATGTAGTCTGTAACAAATCAGTACAAAGAAGTTGAAACATTTGTATCTAGTTATGGGTATTTAAGAGCTTGTATTTGTCATGAGGGTTTCTTTCCTCATGGCAAAATCAACAAAAATCTGTTAAAAGAAATAAAGAAACTTTTGTCTTAATAAAAATCAGAAGAACTTAGGTCTGCTCGATCTGTTTGCTTGTAATGTGGATCATTTATTGTTTGCGTGTCTTGGGCTGCTGTGACCTTAGTTGTTACAATTCCCCAGAATATATTCCCGGGGAATGATTTATTTATTATTATTTTCATTAGGGAATCAACTCCCATTCCTAATGCAGGAATGGGAGTAGCAACTACCACGGCTCAGGGGGAGTTGGGTTTTTGGGGCTGGGGATGTCCTGGGACTGCCCTCAAGTGGTCCTCCCAATGAATCCCAAGTTTGAGAGTCAATTAGCTAAGGCCCTTGTTTTATCAACATAATGTGAATAACATGCAACTGTTTGGCTGTGATCACTACCAATATTGGCAAGTTGCACCAAAACACCAGTTTTTCCGGCATTCTTTAAGAAACTGACATACAAAACATTTGAGCCTCATCTCTTGGAGACATTTGACATCATCTTCATCAGATTTCTACTTGTGCCTTTCTTCAGTCTTGCACATTCCTCAGTAAGCACCACTGTGAATCTTGATGGCTTCTAATGCAGAGAAAGGTTTGAGAGAACTTGTTAATGTTTGTTGCTAGCAAAGAGGTGGTCTATTTATGGACCACTGGTGATCAGGGTACAAGCAATGAGCTTCAGAATGAAGCTCATAATACAAAGGGTTGTCTATATATAGAGTCACTAAGACTAGTAGTACAAAGAATTGGATGAAGAGAGAAACAAAAGGAAGAGAAACTAAAATACATGTACAGTGGGTGGACCATTATTTTTGGCTGCTTGTTTTGGATTCTACATCTTCAAAGCACAAACTTCAAGTCACAAGAGTTGGTTAATTGGTGCAGAATAGGTCCCAGAAAATGAATATGAAGAAATAAAAACAAAAAACAAAGTTTCAAAATTTGTGAAAAATAAAAAATAAAAATGTTTGTTTCCAAAAGCTTTGTTATTGATTTTGGGGGAGTGGAAGTTCTGAGAGAAAGAAAGAGTGGAATATGGCAAGAATGATTATAATTGAAAGAATTGGAACCAAAAAAGGGTGATCCAGGTTGGATGTCCAGATTTGATCCAAATTAATAGATTCTAGTGCTTGACTACAATGTGAGCTGGTGAATGCCCTACTCAACATCTGTTTAAAACCAACTGGTAACCATTTTTTTAGAATGTTCATTTATAATCATTCTTCCCATTTTCCATTCTTTCTGTTGAAATTTGAAACTAAAAGCATGTAAGAGGTTGAGGGCCAAAAAAAGAAGAGTCTCATTTTTGGGAATGGCTCACGGAAAAAGAGTGTAAGAGCCAATGATTTTTATTCACAAGTACTTAGTCAGGTTTAAATAGACTAAGGACAAGTGGTGAACAATTTGTATGAGAAATGAATAGAAAAAGCATGTTGAATAAAACACTGAGAGGAAGAAACATGAGTCTTGGAAGAAATAAAATGGACAGGGATTCTCAGTCTATTTTAGTCAAGCCAGATGAGTTAATCAAGAAAAACATGCTATAATCCACAAATATTTAGAGTTGTTAATTCTAATTAATCAGGCTTTAGTAGATCAATCAATAAATCAGAAAAAAGAAGAATCAATCATTGAGACATGAGTGGTTAAGAATAGCTGATCACTTCAGGTTCAAATTTGACTCAGAAGGGGCTTAAAAACAACCAAAATACAAGCTACTTGATTAATATAAACTGGTCTGATTATTGATGACTAGAAATGGATGAAGGGCAGAGAGAGACAGAACTGAGAAAAATTCAACACTTTCTTTTTTCCAGCACTCCCACTCCCCCAAAATGACTATCAAAGCTTTTGGAAAAAAATGTTTTATTTTTTATTTTTCACAGATTTTGAAAATTTGTTTTTTGTTTTTATTTTTTCATATTCATTCTTTGGGACCTATTCTCAACGATGAAACTGATGTGATGCATGCATAGGTATCGCATCATATCGGGCCTTTATTTCATCGCATTGCAAGAGCGATGCGGGCCCCCGCATTGCATTGCTTGCATCGGATTCTTCAATACAGTGTATCAGTATCGCATCAGCAAAGCAATGTGATGTACTATAATTTGGTGGCATTGGTTTGCATCGCTTTCCAATGCAATGTCAATGCAATGCATCACTTTTTTGATGTGATGCCGATGCAATGCATTGCTTTCTTGATGCGATACCAATACATGGCTATTTATTGCATCACATCACATCGTTTCACCGTTGCTATTCTGCACCACTTCACCAATTCTTGTGACTTCAAGTTTGTGCTTTGAAGCTGTAGAATCCAAACCAAGCAGCCAAAAATAATGGTCCACCCACTGTACAGAGCTGAGATTGGTGTGAAACAAAGAGATAAACCACCACACGGTTAACAATAAAAGGAGAAGAAGAAAAGCAATTGGTCTGGTGCGGTGCATGTCCCTCTAGGTCTGGAACTGGAAGGTGTGGGCTTCACACCACTCTAAACAAACATCTCAGTCATATGCTCTAGAGAAAAGCACAAATATACTTATCACCAATGCATAGTTCAAAGACATTCTCCTGGATACCCTCACCAATACACCTTTGCTCTCATTGCAATATGCCAATACACCTTTGCTCTCATTGCACTATGCACTCATCACATAGGCACTTGAAGGACATTCAAACTCCATCACTTTCTGAATCAGCTCATACCCAGTCTCCTTCAAAAACCCATCTAGAGCATGGCCTCTTTAAATCATGGGGCTTGGAAAAACGGCTCCTAAATTTTAGGCGACGGCAACAGTGGGCCGCTACACTAACCGTAGCGGTTAGTGTAGCGTAACACAGCGAAATTGCTCTTAGCGCTAAGCGTAGCATAGCAGAATTCCACCACGACACCGCTAACGCTACGCGTGTGGGCCTCAAAAAAAGGGCCCACTACGCTGCGCTACAGCGGTTTTTGGTGGTTTTTGGCCACTTTTTCCGCTAAAAGCACTGTAGCGCAGCGTAGCGTAGCAAAAAACCGCTAAAAAAACGCTAACACTACCCTTTTTTGATGAAAAAAAGCGCCGCTATGCTATGCTTTTTGGGCCAAAAGCGTAGCGGCCCACTGTTGGTTTTGTCATTGAACTTGAAGGTCAATTTGGGTGAGTGGATATGGGTTGGTTGTGGGTATGCGGGTTAGGGTTGGCAACTCCTGCATGGGAGAAGAAACAATCTTTCTTCTCCCAAGCTGACTCCTAGGGATTGGTCTGACAGCTCCCGCAAGACAAAAAAACCTGCTGTGTTGTCACTTTGGGAAATTGGGCCATCAACTCCCGTTTTTTCAGGTGACTTAAGCCTGACAACTCCCAATGAAAAAAAAAAAAAAAAGAAAAACCCCAAAAAAAATGAGAATTGGGAGCAACAACTCCCAAATATTGATAAGTTGTTATCACACATTTCAAAAAGCTTGGCTAGTTTGTAATTGTTGTGGGTTTTTGGGGTGGTAAGCAAGCTCAAATATTGATGTGAAATTAACTCCTCCAGAATTTTGGCGACTTCTGCTTTGTCATCAAAAAATGTCTCCCAGATGATGCCCAGAAAGAGAATCACACCAAAGCTGGGGATCAATGGAAGTTTCATGATACCATTGAGAATTTATTTGGTTGCCTCGTTGTGATGGTACACCATGATGAGGAAGACCACCCTGATGAGTCGTTGGCATTCACTGAGCCCTTGCATACTTCTTTTTGAGTATATCGTTGTGGCAGGACAGCACGTTTCCATTGGGGGGGGGGGGCTTGAATTTTGCTGGATCCTTTAAACTGCTAGTTTGATTTAGGCTAAGCTTTAAGCCTCCCATCAAGTGCTCACAAATACCAAGGTTCTTAAAAATTTTCCTTAGAAAACCTTATTGTGAACCCCACTATTCTCACATTTCATCTCATTATTTTTTTCATTCTCTTTTTCTTTTTTTCATCTTATTATGCCTATATTGTCAGTGCCAGTAAATACTCCCTTGTACTTCTGTATGCTTTTTTACCTCATCAAAATAAGATTATAGTCTTTAGAATTCATCCAGTCCCTTGCCTTCTTAGCCTTTTCGTTCAGTAAAACACTTACAGTCTTCATAACTGAGTCTCCTCATCCACAAGTCCACTCTCTTCAAAGCAGAAGATACCTTGAAACAGTTCTTTCGGCTGTTAGTCATTGCTTCAACCATCACTTGACTCCTTTCCTTTCCTGAGTGCCCACCCAGATTCCTGTACAAGCCGCTGTGTGGCAGAAACCCAATTTTTCCTATTACAGTAGCCACCAAGTCTATTGGAATCACCCCCCCCCATGAAAACATCACTTTTGAAGAAGACACAACTTCCAATGTATACTATGCAAAGTGTCTCCATCAGACTTGAATTTGGACAATCAAAGAATTGGAACAGTTTGAAGTCTCCTCATACTTACATCACACATGATCAACAATCATTATGCTTGCGATCGGATGTATGTAGGAGCAATCTACTTTGATCCCTCTTTTGTTCCTCTGGGTCATAATATCTTTTCAGACACCCCACAGAAACCCCTCTCCTCTTCCTGGGGCTTTATTCAATTGAACAAGCTAAAAGAAGACAACTAGCATTTGAGGTGCTAGTTGTCTATTTTTTTTGGGTTACCTTTTTCATTTTTTTTTCATTTTTTTTTCATTTCATTTTTTCATTCCTTTTTTTTCCTTTTTTTTCATTTCATTTTTTTTTCATTTTTTTATGTAATTTGAAGACTTTTTTTCTACCTTGGGATGGAGTAATATAGATGATGGTTGTGTATTTATATATGAGAAGGGCCAGAGGTGTTTGAGAGTATATTGCTGCTTGTGGGATATATCACCTTGCAGGAGTGCCATGAGAGGGACAGGACCGGGTGCACCGGACGGAGTGTTGATGCAAAGGCAAGTTAGGGTGTTCATAAGTCGTGTAGGCGCAGTGAGTGCACCGGATCCGGAATCGTTCTTCCTCCCAGAAAGTGCACCTGCCGCCAGTGGCCACCCGGTGCTGACTACACACCAACGGCTCATTGCATGCTCCCGGATTGAATGACGAGAATGCCGTATCTTTGCATCTAGCACACTCCACCTCCATTTCTCCTGCCTGACGCCCCATGTTCGGCGAGGCAAGGATGAGCCCGCAGACGAGCCAAAGCCCGCCCCAGAAGACCCAAATTCTGGCCATGGCTGAACCGCAGTGTCGATCGATTGTATACGCAGGAGGGCGAAACCCAGTCGGATTTAGACGCAGTGCTTGTTACAGGCTATACGTTAGATCCGCTCGACCACGCTCGGATTTGAACAGCGATAATGATGGTGATGATGGTGACAAGAGGCGATGAATCCGGATTGACTATTGTCGTGGGGGATAGAATCAGCTCACTGGAAGTGATCCATATACCCCATTTGGTGATGGCCGCTGCCCGGTTTCTTGATCTCTTTTGATTTGACTGAGGAGAACACATGAGGACACACCCAAATTCGACTTTCGGCTCAGCGTTAAGTTATGGCCTCCAAAGTATTAAAAAAAGCAATGCTCTGAAAGGTCCTAACAAAATCAAACAGAACACGGATTTACATGTCCACCTCAAGCCAGCTGGTATTTTTCTCACTTTTCATGAAGAAGAGAGAGAGAGAAGGTCAAAACCAGCTGCGACAGTGCTCTTCATTGCACCAAGCTTGATAAGTAAGGTTCACCACCAGATACGAACGGCAATCCATGAGTGCATTCATGAGCCCCGCCATTTGTGAGGCCTTTAGCTCTTTCAATGGACTCGAAAAGATAAAGGCCCACCAGTTGACACGAGAGGACCATACGCGATCCTGACATTGCATCCAGAGACTCTTGAAAGTGATGGGCGATCTGTGGGATCAGTGTGGCTCGGAAGAGGGCTGGCCTCTCTTGAAGATCATCGCCGTATCTCTCTTCAATTAGCTTCCCAAAAAAAAAGAACCAATGATGATGATGATAATGATGATGATGAAGCACAATGCCAAACCAAAAAAAAAGAAAAGAAACGGAAATATAAGTAAGTAGACACAGAGAAAAGACCAGCATATATATGTATGAAAAAGGGCGGTGGATGAGGGCTTTATAAGATCATGGATATATATAAAGAACCAAAAAGAGAAAAAAAGAGAGAAGGAATACAGGTCGATGTACCACAGCAGAAAATAACAATTAGACAATCATATGTAAAACATGCGTAGCAATTCAACCAAAAAAAAACCAAGTAGCATCGATCTACTTTTTAAAAAAAAGAAGAAGGAGGAGAAGGAGGAGGAGGGATGGGGGGGGGGGGCTGGTAGATGAAGAGGCCGAGTTGCGGATACGACAATGCATAAAGAGATCAGTATCTATTAGTATATATAAATGCATGCAAGTGATAGTACAACAGACGAATGAAAAAAGGAACGAGGAAAGTACAACAGTCTTTCAGAGAGAGTGTGTGAGCGTGTTTTTTTGATGATGATGCTTAATGGGTGCTTGAAGAGAGCGCGAAAGAGAGAGAACAGTGGAGTGAAAAAGTGAGAGAGAGAGAGAGAAAGGGCTAAAGAAACAAGTATACAACTCGTAGAGTAAGACGTATGAGTGAGATCATCGACATGGGCGTGAGGAAGTGTAAGTTTGCGGGAGGTACATAGGTATGTGTGTCTGGGTAGGGTAGGGGCGAGAGAGACGGATAGAATAACAAAGGGGATAATAGTTAAAAAACAATACTCAAGCATTTCGTGGTTCAATTCCTCTTCTAAAATCCATCCATAAATACGTCTTTAGAGTGTTTTTTTGATAATTCTTCCATGGAACCAACCCTGATCAGATTAGATTTTCTTTTCGTAGAGTCTGATAGATATGAGCGCTCATTTCCAGCTTTCCCAAGGGTTGAGGAGCATGAAGAGCGAGGGAAAGGGTGTGAAGCTAGTGATGAAGACGATGGTCTTTGAGGGCCTGATGAGGGTCATTATCAGGGACGAGATAAAGCGGATGGTCGTCGTCGTTGAGGGTGAGAGTGGCGTCTTCGGCGGGGCTGGGCTGGGAGAGACGGGCGTCGTGGTCGTGCTCGTGGGAGTCGGTCAGAGTCATCCGGTTCATCGAGTGGTTCCGCTCGGCCATCAAGTCTTGATCTTCCTTGCTAATCTTCTCTCGGTCTTCGGGATCGACGACGGCCAATCGGTCGCCTCTGTCCCTGCGACTATATCACAAAATAAAAATAAAGAAACAAACCCCGGTCAGTTTTTTCTTGTTGTTTTGGGTGAGGTTTGGGATGGCCACGTACAGCACTGTCCGTAACTCGCCAATCAATGGCCATCCTCCAAAGATGATGACGGCCAAGAAGCCGATCGTGTGTACGGCGATCATCCCAAAGCCGAGCACCGTCCGGGGAATCGGCTTGATCTCCAAGGAGGGCACAAGGAATTGCAAGATCACCGACTGGACCACGCCCATCGTCGCTTGGATAATCGCCGCAACATTCGTCAGCGTCGCCCCAAATGGGCGGTACACGACCATCAGACCGAATCGGATCGTTAGTAGGATCATCTCACTGATCACTTGTGTTTGTCCAGACCCCTTTCAGAAAATAACAAACAAACCTATCAACATGTCTTCCGACCGAAACAAAAAACCAAAAAATAGAGACAGAAAATGCTAGTCACATACCTGGCCGAAACCAATAAATGCGGCTCTTAATAAGGAGATAAGAGTCAAGGGACCCATGAGCCACCATTTACCAGGCTTGAACATGCCGACGAGGGCGACGGACCAATTCCAAGGGTGTCCACGAGAGTAATGGCGGAAGAGACGCCAACCGATGAAGCCGAGGGCGACCGAGGAACCGAGCCAGATGACGATGCTGAAGAAGATGGGGGCCCGAGCGTCTGAGGAGCCGAGGCGCCATTGCCAGAAGGTGAACAGGGACAGCGGGGGGTAGACGAACAGGAGCGCTCGGAGTCCGATGGCTAGACTGACTGGACTGAGTCTGACTAGCTTCTGTAACGGCGAGCGAGTCCGGGAGGGTATGATGAGGAGGACTAGCGAGGTGAGTAGGAAACAGGCTAGGAAGAAGGCCGTGAGGATCAACAACCACATGAACAAGAACATGAACGCATTCTCGACTGGGAAGCCGACTTTATTGACGTATGCGGCCAGGCCGGGATCGAGCAGGGTGGTATTGCGAGTGACAACCGGGACGGTATGACGTGGTCTTGGCACGGTGGAGACGAAGCCGGAGGAGTCGAGTGCCTGGCGCGCCACGAGATGGTGGCTAGGAGAGGTCGTGCTGTTGTGGTAGGCCGGCGCATTCTGGTATGCCCCACTGATCAGCTGGTGCATCGTGTCCTTGACAAACAAGGCCCGTGCCGAGCTAGAGGTGTCTGTGTGGGTGTCGACAGTGCCCCGCTGTTGGTTGAAGGGCGAGTATAGCCGCGAGATGAACGCCACCGTGTCTTGGGTGGTCTTGAACCCGTTCCCGCCGGTCCGGTCTCGCAGATCATCAATGGCTCGACTGATTGCCCGACTCGAGATCAAGCCGACCGAATATGCAAAATTAGTAGTCCATGTACGCAGGACTGTGTTTGAGAACAATCCCGAGTCAGGAATTCATATATTCAAGAGAATGATTTGTTTGAAGGTTGACTCACCAACGGGATAGTTCAGACTGAGCATGCCGGTCATGGCCATCTGCTGGAGTTGGTTTCCTAAGAGATAGAAGAAGGAGGCAGGGGCGGTGAGCAGGACAGAGGAGGGGGCGATGATAGCAGCTCCGAGGGCGATGAGGGCGGAGAGGATGAGGAAGGCGGCGGAGACCCAAGCGACGGACTTGTGGCCGACGGTGAGGCCATTGGTGAGGGTGACTTGGAGACAGGCGGCGGCTTGCCTGGAGGAACTATCGATGAGTTCGATGGTGAAGACAGCCTCGATGTCGGGGACTGACCAGGCGAGGGCGGGGATCGAAGGGATCCGGCTGGCTGGGATGGAGTACTGGCCAGAGCCGGTGAAGTTGTAGGTCGGCAGGGGACACAGGACGCCCGAGAGTACCGAACAGAGGTCGATCGATAGATTCAAGGCATGGATCCCATACGCATTCAGGTTCAGTTGGGCCTCCAGGTTAAGTCCTCTGGTGACCGAGGCTGCCGAGAGATCAAAGTCCAAGGTCGAGTTCAGCTTGGAGTAGCGCACATCGAATGTATCGACCAGGATGGCCAGAGGATCTGAACAGTACGAAACCGAACTAGTTTCTGTTGTCATAAAAAGTTGATTGTAGGTAAATTTGTATGTTAGAAAGATGTGCCAAGATTGGGCGTGGGTAATCATCAGCCTTGAATTGACTCACCGATGATCTCAGATCCGGCCGAGGTTAGGGTGGTTAGTTGGGATAGACAAATCAGAGTGAGGGCGATCCATCTGGAGTATGGATGATGGTTGGGCTTGGATGACAGGAATCCCATGGCGAAGAAGGATGGGTGTTGGCTGAAACAAGAACAGAGCGTCAGTGAGTGGTGCAGGATCTTCAGATTGGCTTGGAAAAACTCACCAAGTCCTATAATTAGTTTTCTATTTTTTTTGGGGGGGGGGGAGTTCTTTTGGAAATCCTTTTCGACTTTCGACTCGGCCAAGCTGAATAATTTATATTTCTATTTTTTTTTATTACTTTAATTATCAACCGAGCAGCAGACGGGAGGGGGATGGTGTGGGGGTTGGGATAGAGACTGTGGGTGTTTTTGGGTTGAAAGGATATTGAAGGCCTTTTCAAGCGAATCAGATTAATAATCGCTTGGAAGTGTCTCCGAGGGGGAAGTCAAGAGTGGGGGGATATCTCTCTCTCTCCAGGCTGTGTCTATCGAGCTTATATATGGTATCCTCCTCCAGCTGTGTATTATTTCATTGACCAATCAAGGCCCAATTAAGGTCTTTCTCTCTCTCTCTCCTCTTCTCTTGCTGGTCTCTGTCTGGTTTGGTTTGGTTCGGTTTTGGCTTTGTTTGAAGTACTACTATTTAAATAAAAATAAATAAGTAAGTAAGTCAGCTGGATGAAGTGGGTGGGCTGGTACAATTGTAGCATCCTTCTTGTTCGCTATCGTCGGTCGGGGATCAAGCTGGATGGCTCATGGGACATCCTGCTGCTGTGTGAGATGACAACCAGATCGATATAAAAGACACACCTCCAACATGAACCTGTACTCCGGTTGTGCTCTCTTGATCACCAATCCACCTTCTTGTGTACACAGCCTCCTCAAAGGACACTGCCCCACTAGTTAACCAGCCTCCATGAATAGGAAGCTTTGTGTTTGTGTTGTATCCATCCAAAATGTTGTCGCGCCGAACCGCGTTGCTGTCTTCACAGCCGGCTGTATGTACTACACAATCGCATGAGTGCTTGATCTTTATTCTGGTGTGGCACAATATGATGACTCGCCGGAGGAAGACTCTGTACAAAATCCTTATCGGCAGCAAACAGAGTGTGATCAACGCGGAAGGCGTGCCTCCCAAGTCTGAGCCATTCGATCCCTTCTTCCGGGCCTTTCGGCTCGGCCGCGTGTGTCCTTTCTTCAATGGTGTCCATCTTCAAGCCGAGACGTATATATTTATGCACTTGGTTTACTGTTCCACTTCCACGAAAGAAACTTGCAAGGTGTCGATTTGGAAAGATCCGAAGATTCCATCAATTCAAGATCAAGGAAGAAGCTGAGAACAAGAAACAAAAAAGGGAAATTCAAGCGCACTTGACTGTGCGCACAATAGTCCCTTTGTCTTTGGATCCATTGCAGCCAGCAGTTCCCTACAAAAAAAGTGTCCATCCATCCCAAACCTGCAATATTTAGGATCTGCGTACCAATATTCACTCACATCGCCCAAGTAAAAAGTGTCATTTAATATCGAAAAATAAAAAAAATAAAAAACCAGAGAGAGCAGGAAGGCTTCAGATGCAATGTACATATTTGATGAAATTGAAGAGCTTAGATATTATAGGGAAGCCTTTGGAAACTGCTCGGATAGTGATCAGGGCCAGACATGCACACCCAGATCATCTGACCAATCAGAGCAGAGGGATTGCTCGTACATAAATAGCTGGGCTGGCTCGAAAACTTGATTTTAGACTTCAAGATCAGACTCTTTCACTCATTTTTATCGCTGCGCAGCACGATATGTAACCAAGTTTTTTTCCAAGAATAAAGCGCTCTCACAGGAGGAAATATTACAAGCAGCAGATAAATAGCAAACACAGATGGATCCAAGACTGACATCGACCAGACACGGAGGGGTTTTTGGGGGGGTGACATTTAGACCGACAACAACAAGGACCACAAACCTATGTAGGACTTTCATCAGGGCCACTGAGCAGGCCTGACAACCATCCAGGAAACTACGTCTTCTGTCACCTTATAAGTAGGTTCGAGAACCTCTCCCTCCATAGACACAAAGATGGAAACCAGAAAACTGGAACAAAAAAACTCGATCCTTGAAGTTGATGCAAGTCACAAAAGTCCAAAGAGCGAACCAGATTTGTATCTTATTTTCAATCTTCAATCTTAATATAATGATCTGATCAAGGATCCCATTCTTTGACATTGGATTGTCCCCCTTGTACATACATAACTCCATAAATACTGCTTCACAAGACTGATATAGACAACACACTACTGAGCACCAATAATATAGATAAACTCAATCCTTTTTTTTTGGGGGGGGGGGGGTTTATCTTAAGAATACTATGGGGCAATGGGGAATAATATAGAGCTTCCTATAAGCTTGTCCAAATCACACAAACGTGTACTTGGCTCATCCAATCAAACACTTGCGCTGTTGATTGATCAACAGATTAGCATTCACCAAAAAAAGCTGAATTACGATTTTGTTTTTGTGGGGATGTCAATTTCAAACCATAGATTTTTGGATTGATTTTTTTATTTCAGGAATTGAGTGTTGACAGGGGCTTTTCCAAGTTGCGATGAGAAGAAGGAGTCCTGCATCCAATGATCCAGCAGTCTCCAGTGGCACATAACACGAGAATGGATGAGATATGCAAAGATTTGTAAGGAAACACAACGGTACAATGCATGATACAAGTTGATATATAACCAAGGAACAATTCAATTAGGGTTACACAGGCTGGGAGTGGGATGACTAAAACAAATATATTATATCTGCCCTTATATATGAATCATATATGAAAGAGAATCAAGCGTATCTGGAAAGATTGAATACAGAGCTTTTTGGAAGTATCCTGGCAGACATGAGGATGGCTAAATGTTTAGTGTAGAGGGGTTGTAAGTACGATGGATGCGCTAGAACTATGCATATATAAAGGTGTTGGAGTGGTTTCGATGTTGATGCCTCGGACTTAAATACAACAGTTATCTTTCGGGATCGGCATCTTTATTTAGGTGGGTCATGTAAGTATAATAAGGGAGGGGGGCATTTGTTTAAGAAAAAGAAGTGAAAAAAATATGGATGTACATCATATAGCACAACGGACCCAGCAAAGTTGATTTTCTTTGAAATTTAGCAAGACGATGTGATAATATTTGTGTGTTGTTAGTGTATGATAAATAACGACGAGGAGGTCAGATGCGATATTCTTGCAGCGTGATTTAATAGCTTCTATTGGAGATGTGATCCGGGGTTGGGGCCGGACATATAGATTTTGGTTGCGACATTTGGGGGTTTTTTTTAGCACGAATGGGACATGAAGCTGCTAGAAAAGGCGGGCTTCTCCTTCTTCTTGACCCGTTTGTGTGTGTTGTGTGTCTTTTCTTTATTGGGCGGTTTCGTGCAGACTCTGATGACGCTTGAGATTGCTGGTCGTGTTGAAAGCTCTTTGAAGAGGACCAATGATCACGGATAGATTTCACCCAAACAAAAACCATCATGCATGCATATTAGAAAATTTGTCTTGAGATCAGTTTTGGGGTGCTAGATGATGGAGGGAAGCCGTCTTACCTTCCGCAGACAGGGCAAACGTATCTATCAGACGACGCCGACGGAGCAATATCCATACACGCAACTATGTTAGCAATGGAACAAATAAGGAGCCAGACTTTCTTCCAATAGAAACTGCACCCACGGGCGTTCACCAGTATGTATGAATTCATGTTGGGCCAGCGAAGAGGGTCTGCAGTAGCACATTGATCCAAGGAAACCGGTGGTCAATATTCTGCGCAGAATGTGAATCGAAATGAGCGGTGATTTCAGTGCACTCACCTTCCAAAGCCCTTCCCGCACGTTGGACATCTATGATGATTGGAGTGCGACAGGATCATCAGCAAGAGTGAAGCAAAAGATTTCCAATGCGGTAAAAAAAAGGTGAAACTAAAGTTTTCACAAGCTTGCAGGGCTTACATATGGTTGCGGACGACCCCATGACTCGGACGAGGGTCTGAATTATGGGATGGGTTTGGACAGCTCATGCCCATGGAGCTGGACAGGTAGCTATCATGGTGCAAGCCAACAGTAGAATTACCTGCGAGATTATTCTGTTGCAAGAGCGGATTGGTTGACGAGACGGGGTGATATAAGCTATCCAAGGAGATCCCGCTTGGTTGGAGGGGAGGATTATAGGCAAGGCCGGCGGGGGCTAGATTACTAGCTGGAGGATATTGCGGCCGAGCGTATGGATCACGGCTGTTGGAAGCAGCAAGTGAGCTGCCAGCGAGATGTTGGGTTGGCAAGCCTTGACTATTATAGCCGCCTGATGAAGGGCTGTACTGCAGATAAGCGTTGGGGTTGGCTTCAGGGTGATTCCCGAAAGACTGGCTGGCGCTCAGGTTGTTTAGAGAAGAGGGGTTTGCGGACGAACTCGCAGAGGTTCGACGAGGATCGGCTGGGTACTGGGGGAATCGGTTGGATCCATAGTTACCCGACATGAGGTGGTATTATGTATGTGGTGGTGAGTTGTTGGACTCTGTGGGTGCGGGTCGGGGTAGACTAGAATAAATTAATGATCGTAGATGGTTTTATTTTATTTTATTTTATTTTATCGGTCAGGTTAAAGTGGACGAGGGGGTTGGGCTGGTGGATGATGAAAGGATGATGAGAGGGAGCCAGATTTATAGAATCTCGAAAGAGCCAGGATGAAGGACTTGGAGGGTGATTGTCCGACTGGTCACGCACTTGCGGTACTTCCGAGCCGGCACAGCGTGTGGCTATCTTCATTATTATTATTATTATTACTATTATTTCTTATGTAGAACAAGAAGAAGAAGAATACAAGATAATGATAAAAAAAAACAGGGTAAGAGTCACCTGACGCGATCTGGAGATGAGCAAGCCGAAAGACAGAGGAGAAGGATGGGACAACATGACTGATCTGAATTGTTTGAGATTTGCCAGCTTAAATAATGGTCGCTAAGTTTCGCGCTCATATAACACAGTTTAATCGATACAAAGCGGGGAAATAGGATTAATAGATCATTTTTTTAGGGATCTGGTTGCTGAACGTTCAAACACACTCAAATCCCTACCGCCCCCCCCCCCCCAAAAAAAAAAAAAACCAAAGGAAATTATTTAGACTGTTAATTATGTACTGTTAGGAAGCAGAACTGGGTTTGTGGGACTAAACTGATGAAAAGCGTATCAGAGCCTATGGGGGAGTGTCGATGACGTCTCAACTGCTGTTATCGGCATCAAAACCATGGAGACCCAGCAGAAACAATATTGGATTCGATTGTGGGGTATATTTGAATATTAACAAACAAACAAACAAACCATTATCCATCTAGCTAGTAGGAGAGACGAACAAAACCAAAGCAAAGCAACTTGATCAGGAAGGGTGACTGCCATCAATGGGCTCAAATAAGGAGGGCCAAAGAATAATAGTAAGGTTGAGATGATCCCAGCCATCATCATCTTAATAATAATAATAATCTGGCTTTGGCTTTCCAGTTTGGAATAGAAGTGTACATCAACCGCCTTGACCGAACACTGCCTGCTGCCGAGGAAGGATGCATGCAGGCAGGAACTTGAAAAGCTTGGCACCGGAGATCCTCCAGCGATTTTCCAATTCGGCACAGAGCAAAGGGTATGAGGAAATGATCTCCCTGATGGTTTGATCAGAGTCAGAGTGTGTTGAAAAAAAACAACCCCATCACATAAGATGACATCATAGGATCCAGAATATGGGGCAGCCAGGTTGGCTGGCTGGCTGAGTGTGCTGCTACATTTTTAGTTCAGCTACAAACTGGGGTCTCAGCGGCCGACAGGCTTCTTCTTTTGGTGGTGGTGATGATGATATTCAGCTCGAACGTAAATATATGAGAATTTGGGGAATTAGACTTTACCTTCATCAATGGCTTGGATACTCAAGCTGAGACAGCAGGCTGCCCCTGGCCAAGTCAAAGTGTGGTCAGTCTGATCAACTCATCAAGTACCCACATTAATCCGGGATGACTCCGCTACGGGGAAAGATCAGAGTACATGACCATATCCCCTCTTATGATCTCTCAGTCAACGATAAGAACTCTACATCCCATGTAAACTGACAGGGAGGGGGACGATGGGAGCAGTGAAAAAGAAGCAGCAACCCAAAACAATTTCAGCAGTGCTACATAATAATCATATATCAGCCCATCTCTTCGCGCAGTATTAACATGCTCTTGAGGGGGTAGGATCGCATCTCGCAAACAGATCATTAAGCTGAACCTTCCTCTGCCAACCATTCTAACATTTCTCAGCAAAAAAAAAAAAAAACAAAGGACAAGGCCGGACGTAGGCTTGATAGAGCTGGGGGACTACCAAGCAAAACAAAACCGTGTCAGAGGCGCGGGTGAGAATGCATTTGGGATTGGCGCGGTCGGTGCTTGTTCCAGCAGTAAGTTGCTTCTCTTGGCAAGTTTGACATTCCCATGTAGTGCAACGATCCCAAACTTGCTGGAACAGGGCTGGTACACATTAAAGCGCTCGCAGCAGTTCCAGTCGCAGAACACACAGTGTTACCTCACTACTGGTGTAAGCCAGCTTTTTTTCCCAAGGCCCCAGAGAAACTTGCAGCGGTCTGGCTTCGGCCAAACCATGCCAGTTAAGATGGAATACGTAATCAGGTTGAGCGATGTCAGGCTCGAGCAGTTTAGCCAAATTGCCGGGGAAACCCTCTTTTTTTCCTTCTGCTGTTTGATATACAACAAACAGTCGTCCAGCAAGCGCTGGAAACACAGCTTGCACTGCAGTCCCAGCACGTTTGCTTGCCAGCCAAACGTTGGCTGTCGGACTCGGAGGGCCCTATGTACTCTGCAAGCAGAATACAAACTGGAAGGGGGAAGAACTGAAGCTCCTGTACTCTGTTTACTACCGATAAGGAACCCGATTGATTCACTTGACTATCAAGTCTTGTTGAGAGTGTAGGTTTTGGTTATAGATGACAACTGTGATAAGCTTCGTCACCGCCAAACACAGTGTCACGTAAGACGTGATATATTATGATCCTCCTCCTCCTCATCATCATCATGGTCTCAGAATTGTGGAGAAGCAGGGAGAACCCGAAGCAACAGACTCACTGTGATTGGTCAAGAGAAATCTTGGCTTCATGCTAAAAGGATATTGTGCCCTCTGAGTCTGAGTTTTTGGCCAGAAGCTTAATCAACTCGATCACTGTGATTGGTCGGAACACACTGGCTTTGTACGTAAAACAGCTCTTCTCGTTTGTGGGGAACCCTAAAAAATCAACATGGAAATCGGTGACCACAGTCGAGCCAACTATGTAGGCTCTTTCAAAGAAAAACACCTGTACTCCTTGGTTTACCCCTACGCAGCACTCACTGTTATGCACCCTGCAACTGTTACTATACAATATTCACGCCAGATGTCCGCTTCTAATCGTTTTTTTTTTTTTTTTGGCTGAGCTGTTGATCAGTACAGAATTGAATAAGCAGAAGTCTTCAACAAGGACGTAATAAATTTGTCACGATCCAGAGCTATTGACGCTCTATTTCCGGCGATTCAAACCTGTTTTTCAAGAGTGATTGATGTTTTTTCTGGATCCATCATGTATCCGCATCACTTGAATAAATTAAGGATGCCGAGAAAATGGATGCCGAACGACGCGCGGTCATGTGTCTCTGCGGTCGGTTTCAAATTCAACTATTGCAATAGTATTGATCCCTTCATTCGGTACGCTGCGCACAAGCAACACGAACTCCTTTCTATCACGCAGCTGCCTCCTAGAGTAAGACTTGATTTAGATCTCTTGTGATTCGTCGGATCTTTTTGTCTACCATCTGGGAAACATTCCCAACAAACTGCTTATAGATTTAATTTTGAAATCCTGGAAATTCGTCGAATTAAAACGCACAGCCCTCCACGTGCCTCTAGAAACCTTTTTCCTCATCCCAATTTGATGCTTGAATATGGATGGCTCTATTGGAGAAATTTTTCCCTTCAGATCATGTCCTTCCCCGATAGATGATGTTCCACGTTACCCAAGATGCTACAGTCTTTTATCCTTTGACATATTATTTTTGCTGTTTCTTATGAAGCCTGCATTAAACATGCAAGGTCCGTATCTAAACTGGAACCTTGCATCTCCCTTACATTCACCGTTCCACTAAAAAAGAAAATGCAAACAAGCCCTTATTTCAAAATCAACGCGTTTTTTTTTTATATATTTCATTTGCATTTTTGTTTGGTAGATTTTTGAAGACGGTTTGGAGGTCGGATATTTGTGCAAGTCGGTTACAAACACACGTGTCTACACAGACAAACCCCCCGTCGTAAGGTTGTCGTTCTGTGTTAAGATTTGTTTGGGTAGATCGGCGTATTGTGGCGTACGTAGAGTTGCTCGGTGGAATCGTATATTCAGTTCCTTTGATCTAGGGACCATTTCACGAGGAGATTGGACGCGAAAACTCTTACTGCTCATGATAAGGATTTGCTCTCTGGATATAGCCTGGCCGACATCAAGCTTCATCCTGCAAGAGGGTCGCGACGCGACGGGGGGGGGTCCCCTTCTGTTTGGGAGTATATTATGTAGCCAAGCTAGGAATTTGCTGAGATTGATGGGATAGAAAACAACAATTTTATTGGATATAAAAAAACAACAATTTGAGAGTTATCTCATGAGGTGCATGTTGGCTTGCCATCTTTACAAATGAAAGAAGCTGGCATGGTTCAGATTGTTCTGATCAGCTCAACCCCCAAAAAAAAACAAAAACAAGTCCAATTTCAAGGAGGTGAGTGTTTCGGATATCCTTATTCTAGTTTCTCAGACATGGAAACTTGCTGATCTCACTGCCACTAACCATGGCTGTTTTGAAGGTGTCTTTGTAGGTCTGGGACTCATTCAACCCAGGTTAAATAGGCTAAGTAACTATATCCCAAATTACCCAGGATGCCTGTGCCCTGGAATTAGTCATGGTTTCTGGTAGTGTCTTGTAATTGGTCTTCATTGACAGCACAGCCAAGCAAACTCAGATGCATTATTTCCCATCTTGCCCCTACGGAAAATGCTTCATTTACCTATAACAGCAGATCAATATCCCAAGTTGAAGAGATCACAATTACACTCTCTTGAAGGATCAAAATTTGGATGAGGCTCTCTTTGTCCTCTTTTTTTCAGGTTCCATATTTTCATTATCTTGCATTCTTTCTTGTTTAAGCCCCAGGCCTCTGTTTTCAAAAAAAAAAAATATCAGAGGTTTCACATTTTTTTTGCTTCTACAAAGCATACCACATGCCTGAAAATCACTTTTTCTTCTTCTTTTTTTCCAATTTTCTACTTGTTCAAATCATGCCAAAATTTTCAGACTAAGACTACAAAACTTGTTGAATTCCTGATTATGATTCTTGTCACAATTATCTCACACCATTTCTTATTCATTCTTATTTATTTCTCATTTCGAGTTTTGACCCCTGTCTACATAGTTTTTCTTTCCTGTTTTATGAATGAAATGAACTGATCAGGAAAGAGGAGGCTTTCCTTCTTCCCCCCCCTCACTATAACAGTATTCTCTGTCTTCAATGTAATTTGATGTTTCCTCATGCTCAATTCATTCTAAATCACAATAAATTCAACTGACAGAAAATTGAAAACTTTATGCCATTGTGTCACATTGAAATAATGTCAACTCTTGCCTTGTTTTTCCTATCAGCCTATACAATCTGTTTCCTGACAACCCCCACCTTTTTTTCCAGGTTGCCCCTCATTCATCTAGTGAATGTATGATATCAAATTCATTCTTAATCTTATTCCCAGATGGTGAAAGTTTGAGTCAACAAAAACTCCTGCTCACTTGTCCTTATCAGATCAGTCCCTGGAATCGATGTCAAATTTGAAATTTGATCAGGGGTTTATTTTGTACCCTGCACATATAAGGGACAAAACTTTGTATTTCATCTTTGATTCAGGGAAGGCTCTGAGATAAAGAAAAGTATGGCCAATTTTGATATGCATGTTTTGTTCTTCCATTTTAAATCCAAAACATAAAAATGTCCTGACATGATTCCCATAGCAAACAGAAGACATGATTTCAACTCAAAAATTTTGGTTTAGGAGAGAACAACATTCAAGCCTTGGCAAACTATTTCTGAGCTAGGGGCTCGGACATACAAGTGCTCAAGCTGGATAACATAGAAGAGCATGTCCATATCATAGCGGGTTTATTTATTTATTTTAAAGTTGGACAAAATGTGTCATCTTGATCCACCTTTTTCTCGACATCTTCTTGGTTCCATCTTTTTTTTTCTCCACTTCTATCAATCTAGAGTGTTTGCGACTTCAAAACTCTAAAAGAATTGGTTCGACAATTATATGTAATACACGTCATACGAACGATTTCTTTGCTTCTTGTGACAACAAAGTGAAAGGAAGAAGATCCGGCAGGAAAATCCTCACGGCGCGGCGGATCTCTTGAATCCAAATACTGGGTCAAGATGATCGAGAGTTGGAGTTGAGGATACCTCTGCCTTTCCTGGATCACTAGACACTAGACAAGCCCACCAATCTCAGATTGGAAGGTTTAATAAAGTGATAGTGGAGTGTATCGAAAGATAACTGTGGCTTAACAGGTGGACAAAAGGGTTTAACCCAGTTTTATAAGGGTCTAAAAGGTTGATTTGAGAGTGAGAGAGTGAGTCTAGCTGATATTTCAATGTAATGGGATGGTATGTAATGGTATGTAAGGGTTTGTAAGGGTAGGGGGTATGAAATAGGTGGATGCTAAACTGAGGGGAAAACAACTCAGAGGAGAGCCTCTTAAATACACAAAGGTGAGGGATTTTAGCTTCAGGGGAACAAGATAATGAGAGATTTTAGCTGGCCAGAGCTTTGCAATGAGGGGATTTAGCTAGTCAGAACATGTACATGAGGTATTTTGGCTGGTTGAGCAACCTACATGATGTCATAAGAGTTATCTAGCTTGAACTAGAAATCTACATGAGGTGATGTACTAGTCTGCAAGCTAAGGTGAGGTGATGAGTATTACATGAGTGGTGTGAGATAGTCTGACAGCTGCAAGGAAGATTAACAAGTGACATAACAACCTGCATGATGTCAATTGTAAATCCAGAGTGGTACCAGACCAACACTGCATGTGTCAACTGTCAGAAGATAGTGGAGTGGTGTGTATACATGTACTATAATGGTGTGAGAGTGTATGTAGTTGTCCTGCAATGTACATATGTATAGTGTGAGTTATGTAATTTGTTGGTGTTGTTGAGTGTTGAAGTGTTGCCATGGTGGTGAGTTGTGTAATTGAGTGTAGTGATGGTCCAGAGGGTGTAGCTTCCAATCCAGTTGAGTTCCAGTGACGCCTCCAGTGGTGACCAAGGGTGAAATTGACCATAGAATCCAGTTCTTGAGCCATAATGGTTGATTTGTGAGTGTATATATGAGAAAAAAGGTGTAAAAAGTATGTAATTTGTAATAAAAGAAAAAACTGTAAATTTTTTAAATGGGCCAGATGGCTACCCTTAAGGTATACCACATCCTCCCCCAACTTATTGTCTGTCCCCAGACAATTCCGCCAAAAAACTGGCTGAATGGGTATTCATTGGGGTTGCATCATCCTGTGTAGAATCTGCATAAGGCTTTTCTTACTTCCACCCGGGGTTAGGGTGTTTTCAGTTTTCCTGGGTTTTGTAGGTTTTATGAGTTGATAAAAT